AGTACATTGTACAATAACCTTTGATCAAAGCACATCATTGTGATAGGGACTAAAAGCCTGCCATTGTTTGCTGTTACTGTTGTTTAACGGCTGACACAGGTATTCTGGTGATGCTACTGTTCTGCTTCCTTACCCTGCACACATTCTCTTCACGGTATTAACAGTATATCATATTTTTACCATAAAGTAATTATATGTAAATAAGTATAAGAAAATGATTGCTTGTTTGTAGCATGCAAATTCAGAGTCAGGAACGATGATGATGCCAAACAACTACAGATTGTCCACATGGGTGCCTGAAATAGTGACAAGTTTGCTTTCTGATGGTTCCATGTACAAAAACTTATTTTGTGCACAAAATTATCAAAAACATTGTATAAAAATACTTCAGGCCGGGCGCGGTGGCTCAAGCCTGTAATCCCAGCACTTTGGGAGGCCAAGGCGGGTGGATCACGAGGTCAAGAGATCGAGACCATCCTGGTCAACATGGTGAAACCCCGTCTCTACCAAAAATTACAAAAAATTAGCTGGGCATGGTGGCGCGTGCCTGTAATCCCAGCTACTCAGGAGGCTGAGGCAGGAGAATTGCCTGAACCCAGGGGGCTGAGGTTGCGGTGAGCTGAGATTGCGCCATTGCACTCCAGACTGGGTCACAAGAGCAAAACTCCATCTCAAAAAAAAAAAAATACTTCAGATGTGTGTATAAGGTATATATGAAACATAAATGTTTCAGTCTCACTCTAAAGATACCTCATGTCTATGCAAATATTCACAAACCCAAGAAAATGTGAAATCCACAACACTTCTGGTCCCAAGCATTTTGGATGACAGATAGTCAACCTGTATTGTTAAGATGGCAATGCAATTCTCTCCTAACTGATTTACAGAATAAAACACAATCCCAATCAAAATCTCAGCAGCCTCTTGTAAAACTTGGTACACGAATTCTAATTTTTATATGGAATTATAAAAGACTGCATACCCAAACAAATTTGAAAACAGAACACAGTTGAAGAACTTATACTATCTGATTTAAAGATCTATGATAAAGCTTACAGTAAATAAGACTGTAAGGTATTGGCATAAAAATAGACAAATAAGTGGAACAGAATGAAGACTGCAGAAACAGATCCACCACATATAAAGACTGACACTCAACAAAGGTGCAAAGGCAAGACAGGTTAGTTATTTTTTTAAACAAATGGTATTGAAACAATTAGCTGTGCATATACAAAAATATTAACTTTGATTCATATGTCATAAACAAAAATTAAAGCAGATCACAGATCTAAACCTAGAACCTAAAAGCTGTAAAACTTCTATAGGAAAAGACTGAGAAAAAACTTTGTAATCTTAGATTAAGCAAACTTAGATCAAAAACTAAAAGGATGTTCCCCCAAAAAAAGCCTGATAAACTAGACTTTATTAAATGTCAAAACTTCCGCTCCTTAAAAGACATCATTAAGAAAATAGAAAAGGCAAGCTATATATTATGAGAAAAAATGTATGCAAAAGATATGTTTGACAAAGAACTTACATTTAGAACACGTTAAGAACGATTACAACTCAATAATAGACCAGCGACTCATTTTCTAATGGGCAAATATTCAAATAGACTCCTCACTAAAAAAGATCTATAAATGACAAATAATTATGTAAAAAAAAGTGCTCAAAACTGTTAGTCATAAGTGGTTAAGTAAATACAAATTAAAACCAGAATAGTATACATCCACTAGAATGGCTAAAGTCAAAAAAGACCAACTATACCAAATGTTGCAAGGATGTCAAGAAAAGGGAATCCTACTACACTGCTGGTGACACGGTCATACTGGAAAACTTGACAACTTCTTAGAAAGTTAACATATTCCTATCACATGACCCAGATGTTCCACTATTACTACTCAGTAGCAATGAAAATCTGTTCACAGAAAAACTTGAACCCAAATGATCATAATTTCTTCCTTGTAATCAGTAATAACTAAAACCAACCCAAATATCCCTATATTATATTCATAATATATAATACTACCTAACAATACAAGCCAACAAACTACTGATACACAAAAAAAATGCATGAATTTCCAAATAATTACACTGAGTAAAAGAAACAAGACCAAAAAAGAGTATAAAGAGTATGTTCCATTTTTATATAAAAGTATAAAAAATGCAAACTAAATACATGGTGATAGAAAGCAGATTCATGGTTGCCTCAGTATCGGGGTAAGGAGAGCTAGTGAGGAAGGTGGGATTATGAACAGTCATAAGAAAATGTTTGAGAGTGATGGATAAGTTTATTAACTTAACTATAATGATGGTTTCAATGATATATTTGTCAAAACTAATGAAATGGTATACTTTAAATATATGCAGGCTATATTCCATTAAAATATACCTCAATAAAGCTATATTTTTTAAAGTCCAACAATATAATTTTTTTTAAAAAAAGAGAGGGGTGTCCAAGTATGCTATCTATTTAAGTTTACTAGGTTAAATATAGTTGCATCTTGCTTAGAAACACTTTTCAAATTTGTTACAACATTGAGCAATTGATACCAAATTCTCTATGAAGGAAAAACTGAGAAAACCATTAGACTAAACTAGCTTGGTAGAAAGAGCTAAGACTTTGAATAACTCCCTCCCTCTAAATTGCAAACATTTGGTGTTAAGGGCATAATACAAATTATCTTTTCAAAATCAAGCAAGACCCATGTTGAAATACTCATTTCTCTCCATTTTTAAAAACGTTAACAAATGAAATATTTATTTTTTACCATGACAGTCACAGCCATCTCAGCTATGACCTTGCTGTGGTGTACCAACCATCTTAACTGTATGACATCCTTTTTCAAGGATCTTATCCATAGCATCTGTATTTTAAAATCAATTATTCTAGGAATCCTTTATATTCACTTTTGTCAGCTTCTTTTTCAACAGTATCTCTTGAAGTTATAAAAACAAGAGCAAAGCAATCAAAAGGTATAACCAAATCCCTTACATGATTGGTCATTTCCTCTTCACTATTTAATCAGCTGCCAAAATATCTATATAGTCTCATTTTAAAATAATATAAAGTATGGTGAGAACCTGTCTCTACTAAAAATACCAAAAAAAAAAAAAAAAACTAGCCAGGCATGGTGGCAAGTGCCTGTAATCCCAGCTACGTGGGAGGCTGAGGCAGAAGAATAGCTTGAACCCAGGAGGCAGAGGTCACAGCGAGCTGAGATCTTGCTGCCACCGTACTCCAGCCTGGGCAACAGAATGAGACGCTGTCTCAAATAAATAAATAATAATATAAAGTAAAAATCCAGGTGGTAGAAATAAAATCTTGATAAATTATTAACTGTCATTCTCATTCACCTTCAGTTCCTTTGTTCTCTTCTCACTGTCTGGAATTTTCCATTTCTGGCATATGCCTTATATCCAAAATGCCAGGTCTATGGACCTCGATTTAAAAAGTAAAAGGAAAGTTTATTGCATAATAATATTTGATAGCTCTCAAATATAAAAAATAAAAAAATATAAAGACACTCATAAAGAGCTGCCAATATAATACACTGTGCTACTTAAACAAACAAAAATATGAAATATATAAATATGTGTAATAGCTGGTATTATTTTAAATTTTCACTGTATTTTTAAAACTTTGATGAGAAAGGAAGAACGGAAGGACAGAAAGAGGAAAATAAAGGAGATAAAGTAGCAGCTCGGACAGAATGTTCATATACTCCAGTGCCTGGAAAATTCAGCCTTAATAAACATTTGTTGAATTAATGAATAAATGCATGAATTAAAAAGCTTAATTTTACAATCACTTCATCATCTATCTCCACCTTGTTTACTAACATCACATCCATATTATGGCTTTTCATTGGCTCTTGAGCAACAAAAAGCAAAGTTTGGGAGTCCTTCAAATGTCTAAGGGACATACTAAGGTCAATTAAGCAATGTTAGTAAATAGATGAGAAATTGAATGAATTTACATAAAAAGGTATGAGATCAAGAATACTCTCTAATTAAAAACAAAATATAATGTGAAAGTTTATTTTGAAAAATCCCATCATTTTAGATGTAAAAAGTTGTATGTGTATCAACCAGAAAGCAACCGGTGTGAATCTGTAGAATAACTAAACTATAAAATATAGAAACTGCTTATATTTTATGTATCTGGTAACTATTAATAAATAGGCAAGCAGGTGAGTACATGTTCATAAATCTGTTTGGTGGGTATACTTAGGCATTCACAATAATGAAGAAGTAAAAAGTAATGTAGCCCAAAACATAAACTGGTATTTTTGAAGGGCTTAAAAAGATTTAAGACATTTCCTCTCTGAATATGTTATTGAAATGAATGAAAGACATCATATTTTGACTGTCCTCATGTGAAAACAGTTTCTTTTTCTTTTTTTTTTTTTTTTTTTTTTTTTTTGAGACGGAGTTTCGCTCTTGTTACCCAGGCTGGAGTGCAATGGCGCGATCTCGGCTCACTGCAACCTCCGCCTCCTGGGTTCAAGCAATTCTCCTGCCTCAGCCTCCCAAGTAGCTGGGCCCAGCTAATTTTTTTGTATTTTTAGTAGAGACGGGGTTTCATCATGTTGACCAGTATGGTCTCGATCTCTTGACCTCGTGATCCACCCGCCTCGGCCTCCCAAAGTGCTGGGATTACAGGCGTGAGCCACCGCGCCCGGCCTAAAACAGTTTCTTACATAACATACCGAAAACCTATGAACTCAAATCAGGGAAGTGTTCTTCCTTTGGTTAAGCGTATGTCATTAAATGATACTATTGCCTTATTTGAAGGGCACTGGGGGAAAAAAACCTCCTCTCTTAATGTAAACTGTTCTCTGACATTACATTAATATTATATTCTTAGCAACAGAAAGGTAGTTTTGGCTCAGTCCTGTCTAAATTATCAGAAATTTTGACTTACAATGTTACCTAACAAATGATTGAACTATGTTTGAATTTCACCATGGAGCTGAAGGATGGGGATGATTGCTTACCTCGAACTTTAAAATACTTCACATGATTTGCCACAGCCTCTGCAACACTTTCATCTGGGCAGATTTTTACTCCATCAGGAAACAGAATAGATCTTCGCCTTCTGAGTAACCGCTGTCTCTCCGTTTCTCTGCGGTCCAGAGGCTGTTTCTTTGGGGTAGCTAGAGAAAGGTCTGTTGATTCTTCAGGCAGGGGAAAAGAAACTGCACTCTTGGGTTCTTGGATGTCCTCTAAAGATAAGTAGGTTTGTGCTACAAAGTGAAAGTATAATCAAGTCTTCTGATAATGAAGATACAGTATAAAAGGTAACAAATAAAGAGAAACTGACACTTGTGCTACATTAGGATTCAGAAGCCTATGCTCAAATCATAGGCGTGCATACCTAAGGAAAAGAGGAGTGAAGCATTCAGTCTTTTTCCATTTAACTCCCACTCCTTTCATTCAAGATTGTTATCGAAATCAAGTAAGTATACATCCAATTCCAAAAAAATAAATAAAAGTAAGGTTTAAACCAGAATTACTGAAGGAGAGGGAAAACCAAAATTATTGGGAACATTTTTAATGGTTTAAATGAAGCAATATCAAAAATTAATAAAGTAGCATTTGATTCAATTTCTTACAGAAATCACATCAAATAATGCTATTTTTAAAGAGAATATACTACAGATATGGAAGGATAAAAACAAATATAGATTTTTAAATACCTGTTAATGATGGAAAGTCTCCTTCTATCAGGACAAATATCAAAATACCCAAAGAAATCTTCCCAAAAAAAGGAAACATAATCATTTGGGCCAAAACCAAAGGAATGAGGAGAGGACAAAACCCTTAACTGAGTGTCCAAATCCCTGAAACTTCCAATAACAAAGAGTTATAGGAAAGACCTAACATTTAAAAATCTATGTTTGAGAATGAACAACCACTTCAAAACCATTATAAATTAGCATAAAGAAAAACGGTTGTCCTTTCAAAGTAGCTCTCACTTCTTTTCTGAAATAACCAGCATGCTATAAAAGCGGGTGAGATAAGCTAATTAGGACAGATGGAGAGAGACAATTTCTTTATTCTAATCTAGCTAGCTAAGCTCTTTACTAACACTCTCCTTGCCTTTAACAAGCAGTCCGTTAAGAATAATGTGTTTCACATATAATTCACTGATTTGTCCAACTTTTCTGAATCTATTAGTTGAAACTGATAAGTCACATGTTCTCTGGGTTTTCCTAGGGACTAAGATATAGAAGCATATAATGTTCAGACTGACTATATCTACCTACTTCAATAATACAGAGCTACATCCAAAACGATCTGAGTCTTTGTAATGAAACTACTTTCTTGCAAATGTCCTTCTTGATAGAAAAAAATCATTTATTTTGTCTCCTTCCTTACCTATAAAATAGAATAGAAATAGTAAGCTTATGGTAGAGCAACTGTGCATATTAAATTAACTAATTAAGTAATTTAATCTTCACATTGCTTAGAACAGTGCCTGGAACATATTAAGCAGTTAACATAAATGATAGCCGTGGGATAACTTTGTTGTTTAATTTGCCAACAAATGTGAGGCCCGGTATGCTTATCTATATAAGGAACTCCTAACCAAGAAAAGATTTTCTCTGCAGATGAAATTCTCTATATTGGAACCGTTTTTTAAATCAAATAAAACTAGCAGAAAGCAATTAATCAGAATCCCTGTGGAAGCTAGGATTTACTATCAAATAGCAATGAAATTATATTTTATTTCATGTTATTGCTGGAAAAGTTCTCTGAAAAAATAAGTGCTTTGTAAAGATCTAAATCACATTTCTCTCAAGAATCCTTGACTAATCGTGTTAGCTAAATCCCTCTCCATGTTATTTTATGCTTTTGGAAAAGCTCAAATATATTTTTTCAATATAGCGTCAAATAAACCACATTTTCAGCCTTTATAAAAGCTAACAAATCTAAATGACCATTAAATACATGTGCACAGTTGCCTTTGCAAAATACTGGGAAGTTCATAAGAAACTTATTTGCCAAATTTATTCTTTGAGTAGGAGAAAAAAGCCGAAAATTGTATTAGCTAAGCCAAAGTTTAGTCTTATGAAAAGTTTCATGTTGTCAATTCAGAACAAGGGACAACTCTTAGGTAACTAATATTAGTTGGAAATTATTCTTTTTGACAGCCTCGACCAAAACGCCAAAAAATCTTCTGAGAATCATAGTAATCTAGAAAGATTGCTGTACTTAGATTGAGAAAACCTGGGCTCAAATCCTGGTTTTTATCACTTAATATTCAATTTTGGTAAATAACCTAAGCTCTTTGAGCTGGTTTGCTCAGCAAATAAATTAGGTGTGATAATCTCTACCTGTGTCACAGGGTCATTGTTAAAAATTATGACATATTAAAGTTCTCTGTAAACTAATGTATTTGTATTACTAGTAAACTTTGTAAACAGTAATTGTCTTATATTGCAGGTGTTCACAAAGTCCAAAGATGTTTCAAGCTTTGAAATTCTATTTTATTCAACCTCCAAAATAAATTTTCCATTAACTTACATTTCAAATAATTGACATAAGTTTCTAAAACATTTATTACATTATGTTCTATAAAATATAATTTATATAATTTCAGAAACCTGTACTTTAAAAAAAAGTGTAAGAAATTCAGCTGGGGGGCCGGGCGCGGTGGCTCAAGCCTGTAATCCCAGCACTTTGGGAGGCTGAGGCGGGTGGATCACGAGGTCAACAGATCGAGACCATCCTGGTCAACATGGTGAAACCCCGTCTCTACTAAAAATACAAAAAATTAGCTGGGCGTGGTGGCGCGAGCCTGTAATCCCAGCTACTCGGGAGGCTGAGGCAGGAGAATTGCCTGAACCCAGGAGGCCGAGGTAGCGGTGAGCCGAGATCGCGCCATTGCACTCCAGCCTGGGTAACAAGAGCGAAACTCCGTCTCAAAAAAAAAAAAGAAATTCAGCTGGGTTCATTTGTTTCTAAATATGGTCATTTCTCAAATTCAACTTCACTTGACCTTTTTTGGATTTATAACTTTTAACTGCATCACTCTTCGAATAACTGCATCTATGATACAAAGCAGGAGGTGATAGCCGTTATAAGTTTGCATCATAGGAATCCAAAAGCAAGAGTAACTCTAACTAGTAAAAGCAAGGGGCGGGGCTGGGAAGCAGGGAGCAGGTATTTCAGCTGGGCCTTGAATGGCCTACTTGGCATTTCAGTATTTCAGTGGGCAGAGGTAGGGATTGTTAGTGGGAAGAACTAAGAATTAGGAACGAAATCCCCAGTCGTGATCTGTAAGGTAGAAAAGTATACTGTTTATACAGAATATAGGAAGAGAGTTGCTAGAGCAGCATAGGAGAATACAGCAAATAGGTTGGGAATGAAGGCTGAAAAGGTTGAGATTATGGAATACCTTGAAAGTTTTAGCAGGAATTTTGGATTTTTACTGACAGATGAAGCAGATTTGTTCTATGCTCTAATGTTTAATTACTCAGAAAAAAAAATATTCCTTGAGTTTGTATTTAAGGGGATTCTTTTTAGGTAATATTTCAAAATCTCATAGGATGGTACTTGAACCTTTTTTGGTTCAAGAAATGTCCCAAGTCATAAGCATAGGAGATATTATATATGAGAAACTATATATATATATTATATATAAACTAAACATATTATATATGAGAAACTAAACATAAAACTCTGTGCTCTAGAGACAACCAATACAGATTCCTTCATCCAAACTTAATTACAAATCATTTGTTGACTCAACGAAATTGTCTGAGTGTTGAGACAACTGTATGCTACTAACATACGTAATCAGGAAATGGAAAAATGTTTCCAGTCTTTGAGGAGCTTGCAGTCTAAAGAGAAAAACATGTATACAAATAATATTTGAAAAGTAATTAGAGAAGTAGATACAAACTGTTGCAGGGCAGCAGGAAAGGGAATGAAGTATTGTTTGAATAGGTGGAGGCGTAGTAACATTTGTGTTCAATTTTGAAAAAATAAAGTCCACAAGAATTGGTGAAAAGGGATGGAGGGACAATGTCACAACACCCACTCCACACAAGCATCTTTAGACTTGGGTTCAAAGTGACATTCACACTCATGGGACAAAACATGGCTCCAGGCTTACTTTGTAGAAAATTACAGCACAGGAAACAGTGTTATAATTTCAAGTAAAGTACATCTTCATCTGGAGTCTTTATAGGAGTCCTGACTGATTTTTTCAGCCCCCAAGAAGGATGCACTAAGTTGTAACAGAAGAGACCACCTGGGTGGGAGCAGGCCGCAGAAGCCTCATACACACAGAACCGTGGCTTTTAACAATGCATGGGCAAAGTTTCCAGATTTCCATAGGGACAAGCTTAGTTACAAGAGACTGCAAAGGGAAGAACCTAAACACATGAGTGAATAATTTTATACAACTGCAAAAGTAGAGGACAATGGAAAGATGAAAACAGAATACAGGCTAGAACAAGATAAAGGATGAGATCTCTATGCCAAGTCGAAACCCCTTTTTCCTCTTGCCATAAAATAAAAGAAGTTGATTTCAAAAGGTTATTAAATTTTTTTAAAGTCGTAATTAGGTGACTGGATATGATTTATATAGTAACTTCTTTTTTTACATCCCAAGAGCTGTAAAGTTTAAATAATACTATCTTCTCTAGGAAGGCTTGCTCTGTTCACTAACGACCCTCTCACTACCTCTCTACCTCCTCTCACTCACACACACACACACACACACACACACACACCTCTCTAGCTGAGCTCCTTCCTGCATTCCCAAAGAAACCCTATGGTTGTTCTTACCAGAGAATATTTTAAATGTTCACATGTCCATAAATGACTCAGGAACAAAAGCTGTCATTCATGTCTTGCGCCTAGCAAAATGCCTGCCAGTATATGTTAAATAATTTCCCTGAACTGAAATGACACTCAAACTATATGCTTAATAAAATATGAAGAAAATTAATGTAAGCATCAATTTCATGATATGCACAGAGCAGCATGCAATTGGAAATTTATTTTTAATGGTAGATCATGTTTCTTAAGAAAAAAATTACACCTCAATTTAATGAACTGGAAATATGTTTAATATAAAACATTGATATCCTCAAAGCATTATTTGCACATTAATTTAGGAAAAATGAATTTAAACAATCTTCAAAAGACGATAAAGAACAGTGGTATCTTTGAAGAACATACAAACAAAAACGTTAAGAAATCACAAGATGTCTTATACACTTGCTTTCCCAAAATTAGATGTATAAAACAACAGTCACCTTTAAAAGTGCTCCCCGAACACACACAAATTGGGAATGAAAATATGTAATTATAGCCATCTTTATATGAAATCTCCAAAAGACAAATATCTTTGTAATAATATAAAGATAGTGATAAAATCAACAAAAGCTAAGGATACTGAGGCTTAAATGACCACCTCAATTCACATGATTTTGAAACAAAATGTTCAGACTTTCTAGCTTTATCTAAAATTGCCTTTGCTTCACTGCTTTACATAGTTATAATGTAAATCCAAGGGACGCTTAAAACAGAAGATTAAAATAATATTGTTAAAAAACATTTTTCTTATCTGAGAAAATACAATATAATTATATCTTCCTCAAAATATTCCTGATAACATTAGAAAGTTCTGAAGTGTTTAATCATATATAATGCCACCATCATCACGTGAATTCAGAACTGTTACCTGAATATTTAATAAAAAATTAAGCTCCATGAGCATCATAGGTCTCTGAAAACTACAGTTTAAAAATATAAAAGCAATGAGAGCAATCTGGCTTTGCAGATGAATACTGGGTAAACTGAACTATAAAATTATATATTTAATTCTAACCATTAATAAATAGAACTGAGGGTTTTCTTTGTTAAAGTTACGAGGACACTAATTTTATCTTCTATATTACAGAAACTATACATAGATTCAATGATAATGAAACATGTGAATATTTATATAACTATACCTCAAATAAACTAAGTTGAGCTACATGTATAATTTGTTTAAAACTATTTTGGACAGCTGAAATTTTTTGTTTTAGATTTTACCCTGAACAAATGAACTAAATTATACCCACATATGACATCAGAAGAAATAAAAAAAAAATAGAGCAGAGTAATTGCATTTAGCAATTGAGAGTAATAAGCTGCACCTTAAAAGAGCGAATTTTTATCATCTTCTTACATTATGAACGTCTTTTTGTTACATACAGAAGGGATGCCGTAAATGGCATTTTCTGAAGCCTTGATACTAAGTTATTTTTTTAAAAAAATACACAGTATTCATACTGCATGCTTGAGCTGCAAAGAATAGAATTACAATATGATGTGACTTGTCAACAAATTTGACAAGCACTGGGGCTGGCACCAGGGAGGCTTTAACTCCCCTCAACACCCAGTCATGTGGAAGTACAGATCACATAAGTTTTATTATCTACAAAAACATTCCCACATTACATATACTATTGCATAATCCAAGCATATTTACTCAGAAAAATATGAAATATTTATAAAATTTTAATTTATATCTAATAAGTTTATCTATATCACCCCCATTCCCACTCCCTCTATGAGACTGCAACAATTCTAATAATATATCTTATGTATTTTAAATAATGTTCCAATGACTTATAAAACTACAGCAAGTTATTTTCTTCTCTGTGAGCTGGCTAACACAAATGCTGGTAAGAGGCTTTCCAGTAATCTTAGAGAACATCTGTGTCATGTCTGTACAGATTAACTAGCTACTGCTGCCCTTCTGTTGCTGTAAATGAAGTTTTAAGATGAGCTCTCGAATATCTTCCCGTTTGGTCTTTATTACATGACGAGGAAACCATTTCTCCAAATGAATTGGAAGTTCAAAGTTAACAATAGGATCCTAATGAGAGAAAAGAAAGAGTGCAATCAGTTTGGCAACATAATTTCAAATTGGTTTTAATTTCATTTTTACAAGAAATGAGAAATTGCTAACTTTTTTAAAACAACAATTTTATTAAGATATAATGCAATTCACCAATAGCATACCATTAAGCATTTTTTATTATATTCACAGTGTAACCATTCCGCAATCAATTTTAGAACATTTGTATCAAATTGTTAACTTTTAAACATCAAAATTAAATACTCTGTTCTGCTACAGTGTTATGTTTAAATGGATTAGCACAAACAGAATTGGTAAACAGCCAGTGATTCAGAAAATGAAGTTGGTTTTATCACAATTTTTCCCAACATGTTAAGACTTTGAAACTATTACAGAGAAAGCCTTAGTAGTAAATGAAAAATCTCAGTTTAAAAATGTAAAATCCTGCAAAGTGCTTTCTTTCAGTGCAAGAAATAGTTGATTTGATGGCTTCAAGAATCACTATCATTTCAATTATGTTATGCAAACAGGAAATTGCAAAGGAAGTTACCTCTGTGTTTAAAAAAAACATTTGTGGATAAGGCTCACTTTAGCACATGTTTATAAACTTCATGGAATTATTAGAAGCCAGATGGAAGAAGGACTTACATCTTAAAGGAGGAATTAAGAGCCCAAGGATGTAAGGCTGAAAGGATCTACTGACTATGAGTCCAGGAGCAAATGGTAGTGGAGATTTACTGTGCAAATTTTTTTATTAGAAGTAATATTATTTTTATTAGGGCTTAATTACAAACCAAGTCCCATAGGTTTTGGGTGTTCTGCCTTAAGCTCATGCTTTAAACTTAAGCTATCTTATATATTAGTGCATCAAATTTGCAAAACACAAGTCTTAGATTTTTTAGGGTTTTCCCAGGAATCTTATATGGTGTTTCATCCTGTATTCGATGTAAATTCTACTGACTGGGCTATATAAAGCAGAGTTATGTAACAAACCCGTAATATGTTATGTAATCAGGCAATGTGAATATTCAAAACACAAAATCAAATCTATTTGGAAAGGGTATGAGAGGGCCAAAACCTAACACCCTATGATGAAGCTCTAGTGTGGAATAGAAAAAGGGAGGAAAAAACCCCAACATAATAGATATATAATGATTTCCAAAATTTATACTATCTTTTACTATATATTATCCTTCCTCTCTAATATTAAAGATACCAGAAAGTTGTAGCTGCATACTATAACCCTCATGCTTTCAAAGTACCATTAAGCATCCTCCAAGCAGACTTCTAGTCAAAAACATCCTGCTACTAGACTCATCTTCATACATTATAACAGCAATGACTAAAATAACAAGCTGACAGTTCAAAAAGCAAAGAGTGATTCCTTGCTATTTAAAATTTCATCTTTAATACTGCTACAGTCCTACAAAGTCTGTGAGCTAGAAAATAACAGTCATGTTTGTCATTGTACTTCTCCAGTTACAGTTTTATGAGCTTCTTGAAGAAACAGGTCTTTTCATTTTAGAAAATTTTCTTTAAAATACTGTCTCGGCCCTATTCTCTTTCTCTCCAATCTTTCTGGGACTCCAGTAACATGTAAATTATGCCTTTTGACTGTTTCATATTTGTCTCTTAAGCTCTGTTCTCTTCTCATCTTTACATTCTTTTTTGTCTCTGGGCTATAGCTCGATGTTTTCTATTGTCCTTCCTTTAAGTTCACTAACCCTATCTTCTACTGTATTTAGCCTTCTATTAAACCCATCCAATATGTTCTTAATTTCAGATATATCATTACACATCTTCAGCTTCAGAATGTCCATTTGTTTTTTGTTTTTGGTATACTCCATGTCTTCATCCATTTTGTTTCATCTTTGGCTTTATTTTCTCTAATCTATTAATCAAATCATTTTAAAGTTCTTATCTGCTAATTACAGTATCTGCATCACCTGTGTGTGTTTTTTTTTTTAATCTTGATTACATGTAACATTTGCCTGCCTCTTTGCTTGCACAGTGATACATTCTGGCTGTGCTCCCACCCAAATCTCATCCTATAATCCTCACTGTCGTGAGAGGGACCTGGTGGGAGGTAACTGAATCATGGAGGTGGTTCCCCCCATGCTATTCTCATGATAGTAAGTTCTCATGAGATCTGGTTTTATAAGGGGCTTCCCCCTTCACTCAGCTCTCATTCTTCTCCTTGCCGCCGTCATGTGAAAACGGACATGTTCGTTTCCCTTCCACCATGATCATAAGTCTCCCAAGGCCTCCCCAGCCATGCTGAACTGTGAGTCAATTAAACCGCTTTCCTTTATAAATTACCCAGTCTCTGGTCTTTATTAGCAGCAGGAGAACAGACTATTATGCCCATTAACTTGTGACTGCATGGTAGTAAGTTTGAATTTAAAACTTATCTATATCTTCACATACCTTGAAGAAGCTTTCCACATACTGCAGTAAATATACTCCACAGTCACTGCTGTTGTCCTGTTTAGGAACTTTAGGGCACAGATCCACCATGTTTGTTTTGCTGAATTCACGATGAGTTTTTAGTTTAACTTCCCACTCTACCTCTAAATACCTGCAATAATCAACAGATAGAGTGCCTAAAGTTGAAATCTCTTGATCAGTAATCAACATTTTCACAAAGGCAGAAAAACATTTGTTGCTAGATGTGCTGTGAAGCCAAATTTCCAGACTGAATTTACCAATGCAACCTATATTTTATGAGCCTTCATGAGTGCTACTTTAAAGAAAATATGTAATGTGATTTTCAAACTAAAAGCTAAACTTGTTTCAACAACTCAGCTTTCACAACTCAACAAAGAAATCAGTTTAAAAGTTTCATCATTAGTTTTTTCCAAGTACTATAGTAAATTACAAAATTACATATACATACATACATATATACATACATACACACAATGATACAAATGTGGAAGAATTCTTATTTTTTTCTAAAGTGGTATTTTTGATACTGAATACAATGCTTCTTTGTAAAACTATGTTTTTTGTTCAATTATGAATACAAATTCTGAATTTACCTTTGATCTAATCCTTTAGAAATATTAAAACTTGAATATTAACAGAAGATATTTATTATTGATTAAATGTATAGGCTTGTTTAAATAGATAATAAAATATAATTCTTGATATCTTTTCAATAATTCTTACGGTAACTTCAAAATTACTAAGGTTTTAGATAACAGACTGAATGGTAAAATTCTCATTACTTACTCTCGTAAATTCTGAACTGTGTTTTGTATAGAAGCAGCTTTCAAGGAGTCTAGTATAAGAATACATGGCCTGTGAAAAGCAAAGGACAAAATCCAGATTTATATACTGTGTACCAAGTATATCTAAATACCTGAAAAAGCTCTATTATTATTATAGTATGTACTTACCTTTTACACATTTTCTTTGGTACTGACATATTCGACTCGGTACTCTGAAATAACAGAAATTTTTATGACTGCAATTAAAGCTATTTTGAATAACTTACTATTCAGTTAGTACTTTAAAGTGTTTCAAACTTTGAAATTAAAATTTCAAATAATAGTTATCTTCATCATCTAAAGTGAACTAACTTCATTTTCCATGAATTTATTGCTTTATTTTATTATACAGGTAAAATGGTAGGTTATATACTTTTACAGGTGGTCTCTAGTAGTTAAGGAGTTTTAGCTTGTCCTAAAAACCAATCTGGAACTTTAATTACTTCCATTCCAAGTTATGATCTTAAGCAAAGATTAACAAGTTAATTTAACGTGTCTTTACATACATTCTCTAATTCAATTCATGATGTCAGTAGAGACACATTTCTTCTCTTTGAAGTACAAGATGCAGAACATTAATCTATATTAAGGGAAAAGGAATGGGGAATTTTGTTTTGTTCATGTTGTTTGTTTTCTTCCAAGTTTGAGAAACCACAGATCAAACTTAAACAGATTTATTTAATGCAGACCTTCTCAGTGCCTTTATTATTTTAATATACACAATAGCCCTCTAAGACAGAAAGAGTACACAAAGTTTGCCCAACTTAATTGACCTTAGAATCTTGCTCATCATGAACTGCGTCTTAGAATGAATATTCCAAGAAACTCAATTTGAGAAATCTGGTAGGGCCGGGCGCAGTGGCTCACGCCTGTAATCTCATCACTTTGGGAGGCCGAGGCAGGTGGATCACGAGGTCAAGAGATCGAGATCATCCTGGTCAACATGGTGAAACCCCATCTCTACTAAAAATACAGAAAATTAGCTGGGCATGGTGGTGCATGCCTGTAATCCCAGCTACTCAGGAGGCTGAGGCAGGAGAATTGCCTGAACCCAGGAGGCAGAGGTTGCGGTGAGCCGATATCGCGCCATTGCACTCCAGCCTGGGTAACAAAAGCGAAACTCCGTCTCAAAAAAAAAAAAAAAAAAAAGGAAAGGAAAAAAAAAAAGAGAAATCTGGTTCTAGAGGCAAGAAGGAATGGTCCTATTCTGCCACTGTGAGCAAAGAAATCTTCCTTTATAAGAAGTGACGCTTAGTACCAGTGACGGTAAATACATAGGACTATGTCAGGGACTCTGCTGCTATTTGTACATACAAAAAAAAAAAAAAAACAGATCCTTAAGTGGCAATCTTAATCAATTAGAACACTGAACCTAGACTATGCAGATCAGTTTGGAGCTCCAAATAAAGAAGAGTTAATGAACTAAGGAGTTATATGGATTCACTCTGAGTTCACTTTGAATGATTTTTACCAGAACTTCCTGGCTGGGCGTGGTGGCTTATGCCTCTAGTCCCAGCACTTTGGGAGGCCAAGGCTGGTAGATCACCTGAGGTCAGGAGTTCAAGACAAGTCTGGCCAACATAGTGAAACCCCATCTCTACTAAAAAAAAAAAAAAAAAAAATACAAAACTTAGCCAGGTACGGTGGTGGGCACCTGTAATCCCAGCTACTCGAGAGGCTGAGGCAGGAGAATCACTTGAACCTAGGAGGGGGAGGTTGCAGTGAGCTCAGATCACATGACTGCACTCCAGCCTGGGCAACAGCAAGACTCCATCACAAGGAAGGACGGAAGGAAGGAAGGAAGGAAGGGAGGGAGGGAGGGAGGGAGGGAGGGAGGGAGGGAGGCCCTACAATATGCTTAAGATTATTAATTACCTAAGTTCAACAAGTTACTGACAAAATAAAGAATAAAAATAAATCTGATCCTTAGAAATTAAAAGAGTAGTTAACAAAGATGAACATCAGATAAACTACTAAATAACTTAGTTAAAGCAAGCTAAACAGATACAAGAATAATAACTTATCTTGTTCTCTTCCCCAGCCCAACAAAAACTGTCAAAAATCCTAAAGCAAATAATCTAATGATGTGCCAGCATAGTCCACCTAGCTATGCTCTATTTTATAGATAACATTATTATATTCATGATTTTTCCTTCCTTCCCATCTGTAAAGAACACACTTACTTGGGAATCCTCTGCACTCAAAGACAGTGTCGAAGTGGGATGTAGATCATTATCTAGTTAGAAATAATTAAGCAATTGTAAGTGTTTATTGTATGTTTTTATACTGGTAACTTAGATAAGCTTAAAATTATAACTTTTATGCAGTTACTGGATGCACAGTTAAAATACCTGAGATCTATTTAATTTTTTTCACAACACATTATAAATAAAATTCAATCAACAGATAGTTAAAACTGACAATGGTTGGCTCTTATCAAACAACAAGTAAACCCCACAGCCATGATCTCAAATACTAGTTAGCTAGGCAAATTCCCTATAAAAAGACAATCTTAAAGACAGCTCATTAATCAAAATGTCTGCTGTTTAATGCAGAAGGTAGTTAATTTGCCTAATAATGGTGCTTCTAACTATGACCACAGAGTGTTGTGGAAGTACATATATGAGGCTTAAGAGGTTTCAAGATAATTAAACCTATCAGTTGCTTCATCAGTTTATCTTTTTCCCCATGTAGGTTTTGGCCAGTATTCATGGTAATGGCTATTTTTCATTTGGCGTACTGTTTAGGCTACAGCTATAAAACATTTAATTTTGTTATTTTTCTTCTCAAAGAAAGTAGGCTTATTTACTTTAGATTTTGGCTTGTAGGAAAACTCATGGAAGAATTACAAAAGATCCTATATTACCTAGCCAAATTAATAGAGTCTACAAGAAATTACATTAAGTAAAAATGGGGGATTTCAAGCTATGCCTAGAGATCTACAGCATGAATTCTTAGTCATGTTAGCAAAGCTAGTGTATTTTTTTAAATGTTATAATATTATTAATTAGCTAGATTTTGTCACTCCATAATGTATATATATTTCAAAACATCATGTTGTAGCCACATGTGGTGTAATCCCAATACTTCGAGAGCCTGAGGTGGGAGGACTGCTTGAGGCCAGGAGTTCCAGACCCACCTGGGCAACTTAGTGAGATCCTGTCTTTACAAAAAAAAAATTTTTAATGAGCCAGGTATGGTGGTACACCCTTGTAGTCCTAACTAATCAGGAGGATCACCTGAGTCCAAGAGTTCAAGGTTACAGTTAGCTATGATCGAGCCACTGCAGTACACCAAGACTCTGTCTCTTTAAAAAAAAAAAAAAAAAGGATGTTGTACATAGTAAATATGTGCAATTTTACCTGTGAATTTTTTTAAGTTAAAACAAGCAAAAAATGCCAATAGAAATAATAATAATACATGAAAATAAACATAAAATTTAGGGCGGTGGTTACTTCTGGATTAAAGAAAGAAACGGGAGTGGTCACAGAGGAGATGATTATTCTACGGAAAAGTTTTAACTTCTTAATCGAGATGAAATGGGTACTGATGCTGATATTATACTTTTTTTATATGTTTGAAATATTTCATAATAAAATAATTAGTATTTTAAGTGCTATAATAAAACTTGATACAACAGTACAACTTCAGAATTACATTTTGTCTATAATGAGGCTATCATCAATGTTTCAGGTTTTTTTAATTCTTCCGGCTAGGTAGGTTCAATGATAATCAATAACTATACTACCTTTAACTTCATTTGTTCCCTGTAACCATTATATTACTGTCATCGTTATTAAAAACACGATCTACGTTAAGGATGTCACCTATTGTTTTGTTGTCATGTTGGGCCTGCTGAGCCTGGGACTGATGGGATACAGTTTGTGGAAAATCTTCATACACAACTTCTTCTAACCACGGAAAACAAATGACTGCGAGATACCAGTGAGACCTGTTGAAAAGAACTACAGTCTTAATACCATGCAAAGTCTGAACAATGTAGAATCTCTTCCACAGATACATTTTGAGAAAGTGGGCATAATATTCCATGTTAATTTTGAAGACATCCACTATAATATGTCACTATAATAGAGACAATACATACCAAAACTAATTAAATATCCAGAGTTACCAAGGCATAAGTAATGCTATTTAGAGTAACATCTGAGTAATTCAAACTTATTTACTTTCAGACAAGTGTTTCCTATTAAGAATTTGCCTTAATAAATAGACTCATAGCATTACCTTATTCGTGTTGGTGTTTGAAGAGTTTGTTTTCTTAAGTATTTGAAGATTCACCCAAAAATATTTTTATTTTTTATTTAGAAAATTTTTTCTTAAATCCAAACAAAAAAAAATTCAATGTCTCAGTCATGATAGTCTTGTGGTCATTTGTAATTTTTTCACAACCTTTACAACATGACCATTGTCAAACCAAAATCCAAGATACAGAATTCACTGTCTTAGCTACTTTTATTTAAAAAAATTAAAATAATACTTGAAATGTATGTGCCCATAATTTTTACTGATTGTGAATCTAAAAATACCACAAAATATTTTTTTCTGAATTCTTTCCAATATGTTTTTAAATAATCTGAAATACTTACGACTCATTTACAGGTACAAAGATGTAATCTTTATTAAAAATGTTTATGTGACGAGTCCAAGTTCTTACTCTTTTATGTCTTCTCTGTGCCATTCTGAGAATATGAAAGATAGATTTGATATATCAGATATTTTTAAGATAAGGACTTCAAGAGGCATTTTTATATGCTGAAATATCTTAGATTTAGTTTAACTATCTTCTTTAAGATATATCATACTTAATACATTATAAATATCTCCCCTTATAGTATCTCCTGGTTATTCTTAAATTTAATAACTATAACCAATAATGAAATGGACAGATAAAAGGCAGGAATTTATTAAATGCTTTTTAGATTCCAAAGGTGGCTCAGCAACTTAGTACAAACACAGTTAAATCTATTTATTTTGCTTAGCTCCAACTGGGCATGATATAAAACACTGTCATTAAATCTGAACAGAATTCTCCAACTGTTATGTCTGTGATTAGGGAGGTTTTAAAACTCAATGGGCTGAGTGTGGTAACTCATGCCTGTGAATCCAGCTACTTGGGATGCTAAGGATCACTTGAGATCAGGAGTTGAAAGCTAGCCTGGGCAACATAGTGAGACTCCTGTCACTAAAAATATAAAGAAAATTAGCCAGGGTGGTGACACACACCAATAGTCAGTCCCAGCTACTCAGGAGGCTTGCTTAATCTCAGGAGTTTGAGGCTATGATCACACTGGTGCACTCTAGCCTATGTAACAAAGCAAGACCCTATCTCTAAAAAATAATCCGTTAATTTAATTTAATTAAAAATCTTAATGGAGGAGGAAATATGAGGCTTTTATTCTTAGATTTTTAAAAAAAAAATTCATCTCCCTTCCTTTCAGACATAAGGAAACGAAACTACAGGATGACATTAAATGTACCCACCACTCATCCATCTTTCCTTTCTTCAACAAATATTTCTTAGGTTCAACAAATATTTATTAGGTTCCTAAAAACAAATAATAAAACTCACTTACACTGCTCTAGAAGTATTCATAATCTAACAAGGGCAGAAAAAATTATAACAAATAACCAGAACGTGTCATAAGAGGTACAAAGGAATTATGGTAAAGCAGCAGTCCCCAACCGTTTTGGCACCAGGGATCAACTCTGCAGAAGACAATTGTTCCAGGGACAGGGCTGGGGGGATGGTTTCAGGATGTAACTGTTCCACCTCAGATCATCAGGCATTAGTTAGATTCTCATAAGGAGCGCACAACCTAGATCCCTCACATGCACTGCTCACAATACGGTTCATGCTCCTGTGAGAATCTAATGCTGCCACTGATCTGACAGGAGGCAGAGCTCAGGTGGTAATGCTCGCTCACCTGCTGCTCGCTTCCTGCTGTGCTGTCTGGTTCCTAACAGGCCATGAACTGGTACCAGCCTGCAGCCCAGGGGTTGGGGATCCCTTTGTTAAAGCATCTAAGACAGCCACCTTGAACAGGGTTGGCTTGCACACATACAAATACTACTTTCTTTTCTTTACCTAATCAGGGGAGCTAAGGAAGAAAGATATAAAACCAAGTTTGGCTGCCAAAAAAAAAAGGTTTTAGGAAGGAATAAAATGACATTTAACAGGGGGATAAAGGTGGTATGTGACTTCTGGCTTAGTCCCTTGGATGAAACTCTTATTGCAGAAGAAAAAGCAAACCATTAATTTCTTATATAATTTTTAACAAGTAATATAGGAAACTGAAATCGTTGCCCCATCTTGTTCATCTAAATAATACCTAACCAAAACCATATGGGTAAACATTAGGAGTAACATAGGATTGAGAATGAGCTAGAAGATGTGACAGCAATTAGACACTATGTGGAAGACTAACCATATAAAAAAATCAAAGTCACATGTTTATTGAATTTTCTCATTTCAGAAGGACCCAACCATTACAATGACTATAAACAATTACTTTCAACTAGTATGTAATCTGTTAATCTGTTTTCTATTTGAAAATCTTAAGGATAGACATCTGGTTTTATGTTTATGTTGATATTTGGCAGATTTCTGGATTATGCTAACCTTATTTGATTGAGAATACATTAGACATAGAATGAGGCAAGGAGGATTGGAGAAAATATGAGGGCCAAACATTATCTCTTATTCTCAGTTCCTGTGTAGAAAATTCTCAACTAAATGTTTAACAGTTCTTTCAGTAATCATTAATAGGCACTATTATCATCTCGTATTTTTAGTTCCTACTATGTGCCAAGCACTGGGCAAGGCACTGGGGATAGAGTGGAAAATAAGACAAAGTCCCTAACTTCATGTAGCTTCAAATGAGAAACAGAAAATGAAGCAGCAAACAAACAAAATGATTAGAGATCGTGCTGTGAAACAAATTTTTTAAATTCCAGGATAAGTTGTTTCAGGCAGAAAATAGGAAAGAGTTTAGCATATTTGAAAATGGAAAAGAGGTAGGCTGAACTTTAGTATGGAAACAAAAGGAAACAATGTTATGAGATGAGTTTTAAGGAGAGGGAAAGAAGTCAGATCTTGCATGATCTCATAAAGCAGGTAAGGAGTCTGCAGCTTCCCAACACTAGTGGTTTGAGCCTTTTGTTGCGGATTTATTGGCCATTTGAATTCATATCTCTTGCTGCTCTGATGACTTTTAAAAACTGATTTATAGGGATTCTTTCTGTAAACACTAATGCTTAGTCTGATATATCAAATTGTGTGAATACTTAACAGACCAAGAATTAGCATTCACACATTGTGTGTGTGTGTGTGTGTGTGTGTGTGTGTGTGTGTGTGTGTGTGTGTTGTATCTAGTATCTTATCCATCTTACCCTAGAGGATGCCACTCATGTGACTTGGTTTTTATTATGTATATAACAATAAGGTACATGTCTATTAAAAAAAAAAACTTAGTAATACAGCAGAATCTATCTACTTGCATTTCCTTAGCTGGAAGGTGGGTATACAAAATTCACAATCTCTACATTGAATAATCTTAAAATAAAACATGAGATTAAGTGCATGGTACAAATCATTAAATTCTGCATACATAAAACAGAAAAGGAGGGCATCAGAAATGTTATCTAATGTGTTTAATAAATCTTCCCCTTCCATATATCCCTCTCCACTAGCCCTGATTATCAAAAATATTTTCAAATTGTGGTTTTCTCCTTAATTGATCCTGGCAGGTCTGTCCATCAGACTAATTCCAAACCTACAAAGCCACTTAAAATAGAGCTGACCGTACATCCCAGTTTGTCTAGGAAAGCCCTAATATGTACACACTCACTGCCTAGTGCACCCACTAACAGAGCCTCCTGTTATTCTCACAAGCATCCCAATTTAGACCAGAAATTATATAGTCACGACACTATGAATAACAGAAAGAGTTAAACCTTGAAACTGGAAAGCTATATCCAATGTGGGAAAACTTACATAACTTCTCTAAGCGTCAATTAATAAAGACAATGACAAGAATACTATAGAATCAAATAACTTTATGTTCACTGTCTTAGTTCCTGACAGGCGCACAATAAATATTAATTAGTCTTCCTATTCCCACCTTCTTTCTCCAACAATATATCCAATTCAAGCAGTTTATCCATTAATCCTCTTCTAACTTGTTTATTATTCCTATTATTTTAATAAGATAAAACAAACTCTCACAGCCATTTTTTTAAAGCAGCCTAATACAATAAAAACTTTCGACTAGAAGTTAGAAGGTAAAAATTTAAGTACCAACCAGTTCTGCCATTCACTAGCTGTTCATCTTAAATAAAATTTATTAACCTTTATTAGACTGCTTCCTTATCTGAAAAATTGGGATACAGTTTAGATGCCCTATTGAAAGGCACTGTCATGATAGGAAAAACTGAAATAATGTCAATAAATGTATGTTGTAAACTGTACAGCAGTACACAAATGTTTACACTAACTTTTTAACCAATAACTCAATTTTATTATGAGTCTACTCAAATAGATCATACAAATTGTTAAGCATGGGGAAATGGGTGAAATGCCTCATGCTCCAACAACTATCCAAGTTTCTACTGTCTAAGAAATACCTTCTTTGTTGCCTATCCCTCCACACTGCTCCACAGTTTTAGTATTAACCAAAAACATCCTTGGGCAAAAATCAGCTAAATTGTGCAAATACGGTATTTCATATAATGTTGCATTGGCTTAATTAAATAGTCTGTCACTGGGGATCCAATCAGGAAAACAGAAACAACCCTATGTAACAGAATGTAATGCAGGAAATTGGCTACAGCATTACAAAAAAAAAAAAAAAAAACCCCACAAAGCCAAAAAAGGGGACAATGAGACAGCCAAAGATTAGCATAGGAGGAAACTGCTATAGCTGCAGGGTAGAGAGCAAAGAGAAGTAGTACCTCCAGATGGAAGCTGGAGTTACAGCAGGTCTGTCCTGTGACAGGTGGACTCACAGAGGAAATACAGCCACTGTCAAAATCACTGCCCAATGCAAAGAGAGTAGGGAGGAAATAAACTAGCTTCTTTCTTCCTTGCCCTCAAACTTCAGGGTTTCCCCCAGGGAAATGCAATTTAAATTAAGACTGCAAGTGTCATAGGCAGCAAAACAGTGGAAAGGTAAGAAATGGCTCTCACGGCAAACAGACCCAGGACCTACACAAATGGTAGAACTGCCCACTCTAGGAGATACTATAAAGAAGCCATTTTACTAGGGGTATTCAAAAAGAATATATTTTCTCTTAAAACTTAAGTACATTAGAGGGTTAACTTACGAAAGATTTGGATTCTCTTCTGTTAAATTATTTTCCTTTCTTGTCAAGCATTTATAGAAAAAGCTACTAAAAATGTGACTTCGTTCAACAAGTTCATCTGATGCCTTCTCCAATATAAGATACCTGTAAAGCAGTAACCCCAAAACAGTCAATTATTTTTAGATTTTACTTGGCCTTCCCTCAATTGTCTTATGTGTTCTAGAAATCTTTATTTTTTATCTGTTTAGATTCAAAGCAATCTTGCAGTTTCTCTGATTTCAGCTTTCAGTTTGGTTAGTTACCTAGCCTTCCATCATGTAAAGCAGAAATTACTCACTTATTCATTTAATTAACAAACATTTATCAAATTCCTAACATGTGCCAAATACCATGTTTATACTAGAGACACAAAACAAAAGGGAAAAAAATAAAGTACCTGCCCCTGTAGAGCCTATAATTCAGAAGAGTGAGAGTAGAAAACATGAATCAAATAATCATATACTCAAGTATAAAAGTGAAATTATGACACTGTTAAATAAGTCTAGAAAAATGTTAATAACTGTGATATGATTCATCTCTAAATTCTTAATCCCTTCCTGTACTAATATAATCCTTCCACATAAGCTCATAATTCAGTCACTTAGTAATTAACCCTTTCATAACTAGAAAACTCTGCTATTCTTAATAGTTTATGCAGGCTTGAAAAGGTGCAACTGTTTTTTAAAAATGGAGTAGCTAGAGTTTGCAGATAAGAATAATGGAAAGGAAAGAGCTATATAGAGAACTCCAGACAGCCACAGAGAGTCCTCCCCAAGTATTTAGCAGGGTATGAATCACTGAATGTATGGAGGAAAGTATCCAAGGGCAGGGAAAGAACTACTCAAAAAGATTAGAAAGAATGATGCCACATGTTAACAGAGACCAAGAATGGTGCCTGTTCCTATCAGCCAGACTGGAAACCTCGGAATTCCTGGGACATTGGGTAGAGTACTCAAAAGGGTCTTTCTTCAGTAGTAAGATTAAGTTGTTGGCCTCATATAACAAATCTTAAAGGCATCAAACTTTTTCAAAATAATTTTACTGTGTCCCAAAACAAAATTCAAGCACTTTGATAAATACAAAAATATCCAGCATCCAATAAAAAAATTACCAGACATGCAAAAGTGCAAAGAAATATGACTCATAATGAAGAGAAAAATCAGTCAACTGAACCCAGAACAGACATGTTAGAATTAGCAGAAAAGAATATTAAAAGTTATAACTGTATTTCATATATTCAAAAGGAAACATGGAAGAAGATATAAAAGAGACCCAAATTGAATTTCTAGAAATTAAATCTACAATGTCTATGAATATAATGTGGGATTCTGACCTGAGTCACTGGAATAAAGATTACTAGTATAATTAGTAAAACAATAGACCTTAGGTAAGATTATAATAAATTTGATTTGGGAGAGATCTGTGAAATAATTAGGAGATATCTCCACCAATCGTTGGAAATCTAGGTCTAGAGATACAGCACAAAATGACGGCTAGAAGCAAATTTCCTTTGCATAAAGTTTTAAAAGTCTTCATACCAATTCCTGCAGCTTTGGCTATCCACAAAGTTGAGGGAGAAATTAAGTGATAGGGATTTTTTAAATGATAGTTAAATCTTACTGTTCTTAAAGATACAATAGATATCTAAATAGAGCTGCTGCTTTTCAGTTCCCAAAATGATTTGTAATTTGTAAGTAACTTCTTTCACCAGTATAATATAATAAAGAAATTTATATCAAAAACCAACAAACAAACAACTAAAAAAGCAAAAAAGCAGTAGCTTTTCTTAACTATATAGTGTCTACAGTAAGTAAAGGAATGAAACTGAATTAGTCAATTCGAGAAAACCTTGGTAAGCAAAAATTTTCCAAATCTGAAATCTTGGCAGGTTACTTTTAACAGGAATTAAAATAGTTCAGAGATAAAGACATTTATTTTAAGTTTCTCAGTAAAACCTGTAAAACATATAGGATCATTTATCATTGTACTTACTTAAGGTAAAAATCTATGATTACATCATTAAGAAACTCTCCTTCTTCTAAACACTCCAGATCTTCATTAGTTACTCCTAGTCCCCCCTTAGTAGGTGGTGGAGGATATACAATCAACCTTAAAAGTAAAAATAAAGTTAGAATATACTGATATTGAAAATCCTATTATCTAAGAGATTCTTATATGAAACAATAACTGGGCAGTAATATTCTGTAATTTAAATATGTAGGGTGAAAAACATTTGACAGGGCATAAACAATCATATTTTCCTTTCTTTATTCTCACAAGCTACTAATTATATACTTCCAGTGAGTATGACCTTTTCTTTTCCAATGCTTCCCATGTAGGCTAGTCTCAATAGCCTGCTATCTGAATTAGTCTCAGCATTTGTCTAATCAATAGGTTTTATCTCACAATCAGTTATAATATCTGAGAGACTTCTCCTCAGTTAAACTATCTGAGGTTTCTCTTCTCCATAATTTTTAACTTTAAATAAACTGATGTAATAAAATGTAGCTTTTCCTTTCTCCACTTTCTATGTTTAAACCCTCAAGACTAGTTAGTTCCCTTCCTTTCAGAAAAGCCAACAGTCAAAACTGTACTCTACCCCTGGTGGCTAATGTATGCCAGCAGCTGGGCAAAAAAGAAATAACATAGGAGCTTAGGAGGCAAGTCTCCCTCTAATAAAGTGCCTGCCATGGAAAACTCAAGAGACTGTAAGGGAAACAAATAATTTTACCACAACCAGAAAGTAGTGAGAAGAGAGGTCAGCTAATTAGTCATATTTCTGCTGGCATTCTCTCTTAAAGCTTGGGAATAAGACTAGTTGTGAATTCCTGGCTATAATCTTGGTAAAGCAGTACTCAATGAACAAATGTAGTCAGTAATGAAGGTATATATATATGTAGTTCTTGCACCAGAAAGGTTCAGGAGGATAAGAATCATCCACACTGATTTGGTTTTAGTATCATGGCACCTAAATCAAAAAAGAAAACTGTAAATGTAAAGTGCTAATATGACAGTCTCTATCTTATTGGCTATTTTCCTGTCCTATTAAGTGTCTTTTTTCAAAACAAAGAAATAGAATCACATTGAGGTACAGAAATCACCCATTAAATGCACAGACTCCATATTCTGCCTTAGCATCATGAGAAGACATAGATGAAATACGAACAAAGAAGCAATTTCTGAAAGGGAACTTGTAACGAACTCCCAAGTACCTTAAATTGAAGCATACTTTAGTAAGCAATTTCATTCTCCCTATAATATGTTCGGATAAGGAATGTAGAATTTTTAAAATCATACATTGCTATTCAAATATTTTCAATGAACACTCTAATCTTACCAAATATGACACTTTGGCTGCCATCTGTCTTACTGACATAAAGGTAAGAAAAATGGCACCTATCTTTTTCTTAACAAATTTTTTTACTTTCTCATAATTTCCTTTAAAAAAAACCTATGTCCATTATTAACTATCAGCATGAAAGTAAAACTTAAAACATTTCTAAAGGTAAACTACTAAAAAGCTGCAACATGAATAAAAACTACTAATATGCATACTACTACGAACAAGCTATGAGAGTACATACTTCTGGACAGGTCCAGTGTGCCTGACTTCTCGCCATTCTTCATCTGGATTCGATGTAATAGAAAGGGAGTAGCAACCACTGCTTTGCTTCTGCAGGAAGGTGTAAGTAGGCTTGGCTGCATCTGTATTTGACGGCTGACAGAAAATGGCAAGGAAAGGGTTTCAAACATCCTAACTTTCAAAAGAACAAAGTCAAAACCTAGACTTGTTAGAGAAAATGTGACTTTAAATATCCTTATCAGTTACAGCTATACTTTTAGATTTTCTATAGATATAACCAAACCAAAATAATACTTGTGATCAGAAGATACTGTATGAACAATAGTCAAAGATTAACTTGAAGTACTATACACAGATATGAACTACAGAATTAAAGAAGAATAGAACAATTTTGCTGTTCAAAACAATCAAAAAAGGTAACAGGAAGAAATGAAATTAAAAATTAAGAGGCTACATTTATAATAATGTAATTCTATTATTAAATGGAGAATCTATAAATTTATATACACAATATAATTAGAATGCAAAATTTTTACAATATTATGCATAAAGAAAGAGATGAAGCCTTATACTTTAACACTAATGTGGCTTTCTATAGTCCTTTTGAATAAAAGATTAGCCCCAGGTCAAATTCATGTGCACATGTGTGTATATGAGTATGCCATAGTTTAATAAATTCTTTTCTTTCTAGAACTACTGGCAGAGATATACAAGCTACATGTATATTACCAACCTCCTATAAAAATAAACATAGCGTTTTAAACTTACTATTGTTTTCAAGATAATTTTAGACTTACAGAAGAGTTGCAAAAAAATCAACCTTGCCCAAATTCCCCTAATCTTATCATATACAACCATAATATAATGACCAGAACTAAAAAATGAACATTGGTATAATAACATTAACTAAGCTACAGACTTTAGCCTGACTTCACTAGTTTTTCCATTAATATACTTTTTCTGTTACAGGATCCTACAATTCCTTAGTCTTTCCTTCTTTTTCATGCTTCTTTTTGATACTTCTAAAGAGTACTGGTCAATTATTTTGTAACTGGACTTGTCTCATTTTTCTCAGAAGTCATGTGGTACCTTCTCAGTGCATGATATGAAGTGATGTGTTATGTCAGTAGGTCTTATTACTGCTGATGTTCATTTTGATAACTTGGTTAAAGTGATATCTACAAGGTTTCTCCACTGCAAAAGTTACTACTTTTTGTAATTAGTACATATTTGAGGCTACAGACTCTGAGATTATGTAAATATTTTGTTTCTACTTAAATTTTCACTCATTAATTTAGCATCTGTCTGTGGAGTCTGACTGCAATCACCATAAATATATTGTTGTACTAACGGTTTTGTGTTTCCCTTATTCCTTTTCCTTTAATTGGCTTTTTTTCTGAAAAATAATTGTTCCTTACCCATCACATATTATTTATTCATTCGTTTACTAACTCAGTTATCTATTTATATCAACATAGACTCATCATTTTTAAATTTTTTATTTGGTTATAATCCCATGCTGTCATTATTGATTTTGTTTAACAAATTGTTTCAGCTTTGGCACTGGGAATTCTTTTGGGTTGGTTCCTGTGCCCTTTTCACAAAATGTAGCATTGGAAAATAGCCTAATATCAATGAATATTGATATTATTAGAGTTTTCTAAATCTCCCCCTTCTCTGCCAATTCTATTAATGATGTGCTGACCTGAGATACTGGATTCAGCTTCATTTCTTCAGCAACAGCAGCACCAGCAGGGAAAGAACAAGTTGAAGAACAGTAATAATGAATAAAAGAACTTTCTTTTGAAGAGAGGTTCTGAAACAAAGGAAATGCCTGAATCCAAGACAATGGATAAGAGAGCTCTAATTCTCCACTGATGGTACTTATTTCCATCATAATATCTTTCAACTTCAATTCTTCTCTTTGTGAAACATGACTGTGTAGTTCAAGGAAAATGAATTCACTGGATTTTGCTGCAAAAGGAAAAAATAATTTTTATCAATAATATTATTTTTAAAGAGGAATATAATAAAAATAATTTAATTATTAATAGTAGTAAGGTTGGCATATAACCCAAAGAATTTTATATTTTAGGTATTAATCAAGGCAAATTAATATCCCAAAAATAGGCCATTAGTAATCCAGAGCCAAAACTCACAATAGTACTGATGCTGTATCTCCAGTGCCTGGCATTCAGTAAGTCATACAATACATTTGTTAACGAATGAATAATTAAGTGATAATTATTTTTCTCTAGCCTCCTTTATGAATCAACTCTATCAACTAGGAAAGTATTCCAATTAAACACCTTCTGCATTTTCTCCTCAGTCATTTCAATGGTGATCTCAAAAGACATTCTCTCTCCACATAATGCTTATAAATGGCTATTTCTACTTCCCCACCTTCTCTGCTATTTAATCATGAATTTTCCTACTAGAAGTAATTAGGGCAGGAAAGTAAGAAATTTTAAAGTTATAAAATTTAGTTCACTACTTAACATCTTTACTGTGCAGGAAAGTAGAAAAAGGATAGATCAAACAGGTAAGAAAGTACCTTACTAATTTGATTGATACGGTTCTAAACCTGACTCCTTTAGGAGTTGGAGACTAAACAAAGTTGAAAAACATCTCCAGAAGTATATTATGTAGATAAGTGTTACAGGTGAATATGGAAAAGTATTCAACCCAATCTTAAAGGAATGATATATAAGTAAACCGAATTTCACTTTTTAGAAACTAAAAGGCTGAAGGCAAAGACTTCTATATTTTATTTAACTTTGCTGCTAATTCTGTCACAGTTAATTATAGCAAGAAACTATCAAAGCCAAGAAACTCATAAGAACGGTAGTTGGCCAGGCACAGTAGCTCACATCTATAATACTAAAACTTTGGAAGGCCAAAGCAGGAGGATAGCTCAAAGGCAGGAGTTTGAGACCAGCCTGAGGAATATATTGAGAGCCCATAGCTGCAAAGAAGGGACAGTACGGGATGGGACAGGATGGGACAGGAAGGGCAGGGATGGGAATGGATGGGACAGGAAGGGCCGGGACGGGAAGGGCCAGAATGGGAAGAAACAGGAAGGGTCAGAACGGGAAGGGACAGGAAGGGACGGGACCATACTGCCCAAAGTAATTTACAGATTCAATGCTATCCCCATCAAGCTTCCATTTACTTTCTTCACAAAATTGGAAAAAAAACTACTTTAAATTTCATATGGAACCAAAAAAGAGCCTGCGTACCCAAGACAATCCTAAGCAAAAAGAAGAAAATGGGAGGCATCACACTACCTGACTTCAAACTATACTACAAGGCTACAGTAACCGAAACAGCATGATACTGGTACCAAAACAGAGATACAGACAGAGATATAGACCAATGGAACAGAACAGAAGCCTCAGAATTAACACCACAAATCTACAACCATCTGATCTTTGACAAACCTGACAAAAATAAGCAATGGGGAAAGGATTCCCTATTCAATAAATAGTGTTGGGAAAACTGGCTAGACATATGCAGAAAGCTGAAACTGGCTCCCTTCCTTACACATTATACAAAAATTAACTCAAGATGGATTAAATACTTCAATGTAAGACCTAAAACCATAAAAACCCTAGAAGAAAACCTAGGCAATACCAATCAGCACATAGGCAAGGGCAAAGACTTCATGACTAAAACACCAAAAGCAATGGGAACAAAAGCCAAAATTGACAAATGGGACCTAATTAAACTAAAGAGCTTCTGCACAGCAAAAGAAACTATCATCAGAGTGAACAGGCAACCTACAGAATGGGAAAAATGTTTGCCATCTATCCATCTGACAAAGTGCTAATATCCAGAATCTACAAAGAATTTAAACAAATTTACCAGAAAAAACAACCCCATCAAAAAGTGGGCAAAGGATATGAACAGACACTTCTCAAAAGAAGACATTTATGGAGCCAACAAACATGAAAAAACCCTCATCATCAGTGGTCATTAGAGAAATGCAAATCTAAGCACATTCTATTAGATACCATCTCATAGAATGGCGATCATTACAAAGTAAGAAAACAACAGATGCTGGAGAGGATGTGGAGAAATAGGAATGCTTTTACACTGTTGGTGGGAGTGTAAATTAGTTCAACCATTGTGGAAGACAATGTGGCAATTCCGCAAGTATCTAGAACCAGATATATCATTTGACCCAGCAATCCCATTACTGGGTATATACCCAAAGTATTATAAATCATTTTACTATAAAGACACATGCACACATATGTTTATTGTGGCACTATTCATAATAGCAAAGACTTGGAACCAACCCAAATGCCCATCTATGACAGACTGGATAAAGAAAATGTGGCACATATACACCATGGAATACTATGCAGCCATAAAAAAGGATGAGTTCATGACCCTTGCAGGGACATGGATGAAGCTGGAAACCATCATTCTCAACAAATTAACATAAGAACCAGAAAATCAAACACTGCATGTTCTCACTCTTAAGTGGGAGTTGAACAACGAGAACACATGGACACAGGGAAGGGAACATTACACATCGGGGCCTGTTGGGGACTGGGGGGTATGGGGAAGGGATAGCATTAGGAGAAATACCTAATGTAGATGACAGGTTGATGGGTGCAGCAAACCACCATGGCACGTGTATAACTATGTAACAAACCTGCGCATTCTGCACATGTACCCTAGAACTTAAAGGATAATTATAAAATAAAAGAAAAAGAGAACAGAAATTGCCAGGCATGGTGCTATGCCCCCTTAGTCCCAGCTACTTGGGAGGCTGGGGCGAGAACATCACATGAGCCCAGGGGTTTGAGGTTGTAGCGAGCTATGAACATGCCACTGCACTGTAGCCCAGGCAAGAGATTAAGACTGTCTCAAATGAAAAGAAAGAAAGGAGGGAAGGTACTCAAAGATGACAAATGACTAAAAGTTAAGGCATTCTTTTATTTTTTTTAAAGAACTTATCATTTTCAAAGTGAATGACATTTAAGTTTTTTAAGTTATTCTTTTTTATTTTAGATGATAATTTCTATTGGTTGAATATAACTAGAAGGAGAAATTATGTGAATTAAATAATCTATCCTAAAATTAAGGAGTGAAATTATTTTAACTAAATTAAATTAATTTCAGGTCACTAAAATAACATTCTATTAATATACTTTGGAGAAAAACTATTTATAGGATGTTTCAAGTTATCCTGAAATTTAGAAATCATTACACTCACTTTGCTGGCTTAATGCAGAGTGTTCTAACTGGGTCTGAATCTCTTGAAGATAATCCGAAGAGACCCAGAAGAAAAGAATAGCATGGCTCCTTTTACTTTGATCATCATTTTTACTCTTCCATAACCCAAACCGTTTTAAATGTGTGGTATCCACTAGCAATGAAATCTCATTCAAGGACACTGAAACAAATAAAAGGTAACAGTTTAAAAAATTCATCCATTTAAGAATACACCACTTAAACATTACATAATACTTCTTAATACACTACTTTAAAAAAAAGAATTATATAGAAGTTTTTTCAAAAACATATTTCCAATGCATTTTGCTAACCTTTGCTAACATGCCAGAAGCAGTATTATTGGAGTAAAAACAAATCACATTACAATCAGGAAAAGCTAAATAATTATTAAATGACAATTAAATAGAGATTTAATCTCTCTCACTATATGATTTCAGTTATATCCAGTGAGGGAAAGTTTGAGATTAAATATTCATAATATAAAAACTCTGTCCAGAGAGAATTCTCTCCAGGAATTCTGATATCATTAGCAAAAAGGGGGGGAAAGTCTATCAATGCAGAAAAATAAGCACAGTATAACTCAGAAAATTATATATTTCCCTCTTTTCTACCTTGGTCAATACTATAAACCAAGACTCCAAGTGCTATCATAGGTCAATTTCTGCTCATCTTTCTTCTCCTGAAGTATTTGCATTCCACTATACACACAAGCTACTACCAAAAGAGTCTCAAGAATATTATGAGGTTCTGAATGGTCTAAGGATATATTTCTTTTAAAATTCTTCCAGGTTTTATTTCTCAAAACCTCTAGATAATCATTCTACATTATTAGTCTTTCTCCCTTTTAGGGAACTAAAGGAATCTCCTCTGAGGACGTTTACTCTTTAATTCAAAGAAACATAAAAACACTAATTAAAGAAGTCCTGAAGGCCACCTAGTTCCACTTCAAGACAGCAAGCAACTGAACCAGGAATACAAATATCATTCAAGCATAAACCCGAGACGGGCACCTATTGGAAACAAACCTCTGAGTATTCCTCCCAGCATTATTTCCTGGAACTTTGCTACTCAAAGTGTAGTCTAAGCTGAGCCTGTGACAGTAGCATCAGCATCATCTGGAAGACTGTTAGAAATGCAGAGTATCAGGCCCCACCTTACACCTACTCAATCAGTAATCTCAGTTTAACAGCCCACTCCACCCCATGATTCATACGAACATTAAAATATGAAAACCTTTCCATGATGAGTACTCAGGTAATTTTCCAGTCATCTTAATGTTCCCAAGCCAGTCATTCTATTCAAACTATAACTCTTCCATTCTGAAAACTGTCAGTAAAACTGGCAGCAAAGACTGACTGCTAAAATTAAAACCAGAATGAGAGCCCTCAGAATACTACTCACCATTTCTTTCTCATGAATTTCACAGTCCCACAAGTACATTTGATACATTTCAGTAAAATCTACACAACTGTTACTAATCTAATTGTTCTAGGTGTTTGGAATGAAAGCTAAATTTTCTTTAGGTAGACAGCTTTAAAATATTATCTTTTTAAAAAAGGAACTTAACACCATCATGAGAAAAATTTATACCTCATTACCAAGTTTGCCCCCAATGTATGGTTTATTCTGTTACAGGTGTATAGCAGATACTAAAAGCGGGAAATGCCTCTCCACTTTTCCATTTCTTCTTCTTCCTTAGTAACAGAACTCTCATTTCACTGAGGGAAGCAAGATACACAGTTTTGAAAACTCTATTTCCTAGCTTCCTTTAGAAAGGGGTATGTGGCCATGACTAGTTAGCTAATAAAATAAAAGCAGAAAAGGTTAGGTAGCATGGACATCCAAGAAGCCTCCTTGAAAGGGCAAGAGATTGGCAGCATGTGCTCTGTTTATGGTTTTCCCCTTCCTACTGCTTTCTGTCTACAATACCAACATGGTGATGGAGTATGAACTACAATAATGGCCATGACACAAACTTAAGGATGCAAGTCATGTGTCAGGAATGACAGAATAGAAAAATGCAACTCATGTGTCAGGGCTATGTGTCCCTGATGACCAAGCAAACATCATATCAATTCAGATTACCTCCAGATTTCTTCTATGTGAAGAAAACATAAAATATTTTCTTTATGCCACTGTTACTAACAACCAAACATAATACCTAATATAAATATGGATAAATCAATTTTTCCCCAGCTGCATAGAAAAAGAGGAAACATTTAGACCCTCAGGTTCCCACCTACAAAAGCCTTTATAGGCATGCCTTGTTTTAAAAAGATTTTGCATATGGGAACTTGGACAGAATTTGAGGAAGAAGACTAGTATTTTCTTCTTCCATTATAAAATTAAAAATCTATTACCACTGAAGAGAATATTTTTCCACAATTTCTAATAAAATGTCTTTTAAAAATTTTATGATAGAAAAATTATAAAATAAGAAAGCAATATTATAAATATTAACTTTGAAAATCTAAAATATCATTTTTGATGTTTGTATCACAAGATATTTGAGAGGTAGCTCTTTTTGTTACCCAAGCCTTTAACCATAAATTATAGTGCTATCTTTTCTGAAATTGTCATCCCCTGTTAAAATCACATGATTTTTTTGTTTGTTTCTTCTAAAGAAGAAACATTATATTATGCCTTAATAATTTATTAATATTTCCTATTTGGGACTATCGGAATACTTATTCTGTGCCTTTTATATTCTTACTACTTAATTAAGATATAGTATCAAATTATTAGAACAATTATCATAACATGGCTTTGGATTCTGTGCATAAAATATCTGTGGAATGCAACTAAATCCAACTAATCGAACTAGAAGGCTACTTTGATAGCCTCTCCAATCTTGGAACAGAAGCTTCTTCTTCTCTAATACCTATCTGTGCCATTTGTGTGTTCTTCTTCCTTGTTCTTTTTATAATTCAATATATAAAAATATTAATCTCTATTGTTTATTGGTTTTTTTTTTAGTGTCATAATTTATTCGAAAAGGTTTTCAGTTGGGGAGAGAATGAGAAAATGGTGCAAGTCTCTATAAACTGCAGGTACGTTTTCCAGTCTACCCTCCCTTACTCAGACACTCAATCGTATAAAATTCTCTTACTCTCTATGCAAAAACATTTTCCACATTTATGTGCAATATTAAACATTTTCCACATTTGTGTTCAATATTAAACATTTTCCTTATGCTTCTTTCTTTATAGTTACTATTGTTATTCATTTTTATATATGCCAAAATATTCTTACTATCAAAACTGTATTTCTGTTAATCCCAAGAAATCACCATGAATCCTTTAATATTGCTTGATTTATAGTCAATAAAAAATAGCATACTATTTGCAAAACAAGTCTATTATAAAACATTTTTACTCCATTTGGAATTGCTAAAAAATATTAAGGTTATTAATTATTAAACTTAGTTTTATTTAAATTTATACTCAAAACCACAGTAAAAAGGTAAGGTCATAAGAGAATGACAACTTACCTTGAAATGGGATCTTAATATATTTTGTTGTGATCTGTAGAAAAAAATTAAAAGGCAAACAATGAGTTACCACTCAAAATGTGTTACCATTCAAATTAATTTTTGCTTTTCAATTCACAAGTAGATATTCAAAGTCTACACTATAAGTGCTCAAGCCTTTTTGTCAATAATCCAATAAAATATTTCACTATGAAGACTTAGTTTTATGGAAATTTTAAGAACCCAATGTAAGTAATTTAATTCTCAATATGCTCATTTACAAAAACCAGTAAGACTAATAAATATATTTTTCAAAAATGTTTTTGAAAATTGAAAGACTAAGACAAAGCCCAGAAGAAACTGCCAAGAGACCTCTAAGTAGCAGCAACTTTGGCGAATATAAATATTCCAGAAAACAGAGTTTGATTTTTGGCTTTGCTGACTCAACAGCTGACGATGATCCCCTTAGTGATGAACTCACACTAATGACCAAACTCACAAGAAACTGCTGAACAAACCAAATGCTAACATATTATATTATTATTTTTTATTTTTTGGAGGAGTCTCGCTCTGTCACCAGGCTGGAGTGCAGTGGGGCAACCTCAGCTCACTGCAACCTCTGCCTCCCAGGTTCAAGTGATTCTTCTGCCTCAGCCTCCCAAGTAGCTGGGACTACAGGCACATGCCACCATGTCTGGCTAATTTTTGTATTTTTAGTAGAGATGGGGTTTCACCATATTGGCCAGGCTGGTCTTGAACTCTTGATCTCATGATCCACCTGCCTCAGCCTACCAAAGTGCTGGGATTACAGGTGTGAGCCACCGCACCCATCAACATATTATTTATAATGAGAAATTAAAATTATCAGAAGGCTTGTTTCCCACCTGCTGTGAACATTGTTTCTGTACAAAAACTACCAATTGTAATTTAAAATTTGCTTTTACCACATAAAAGCAGAACTAGAAAAATCAGTTGTGTAATGTGAAATGGCTACAAAAGTTATACATCCAACTTCATTCACAACAGCGATACACCTGTCAAAATAACACAAATTAAGTCCCTAAGCCAGAACATTCCCTTCCCTGGATGACTTTAGTTGGGTACCACCACCGTCTTCATTCCTAGCATTCCTCTTCCTTTGTTTCATGTTACAAATTCCCTTCTGACTGAGGTTCTTGCTCTTTCTGCTCCTTCTGCCCCAGGACACTTAATTTCTCTAGGTGCCTTTTGTATATATCTGTCTTTTATAATAAGGTTGTGGAGCACCTGTAAATCTTGTATGTACTATCTAAAACAGAGTTTTGCTTTGAAATTTGCTTTTGCATTAATGTCAAATAAATTTGTACCTATTTATTTATTCTTTGGTTCAGTTTTGCTGTTGTTTAATACATTTTATTGATCAAATAGGGTATAGTCTGTGAGCACATAACAAAATCAAAATGTTCTTGGTACGTGAGCTCCATATAAGTACCATACAATGTTCGGCGAATCCACAGGTTTATTTTGACTCCACTTATTTTTCAATTTAAAAATTATTTTATATTGTACTTTCACAAATAGAAAACCCTATATTCCATAGGATAGGTAAGTCAGCCACTAAAGCAAAATGTGAGGCAACAGCTCATAATTAGCTAAAAGCTGAGCTTGGAGTTAAAATCCTGCCTCTATTGTCTCTACCACTTACACAAGTAATAAGTATGTAAACTTAGATAACTTACTGAACCTCTTCCAGCTTTAGTAAGACCCTGAATCAAGGAGAGCTGTTACCATTAGACACCAGCATCTGATCAAGAATGTTATGTAGTTTAATTAAATATGCAATTATCATTGTGTTCACATAATTGCCACCATATTTAATATATATTTGTCCCTTTCCAAACTCTTTCTGGCATGTTTCACAGGGTCTTTAATCCAATAAAATATATTTTGGCAAATGTAAATCATTACTTCTAAAAAATAAACAGAAAGGGTGTTTGCTTTTTAGAGTCTGTACAGCCATGACTTCCTGACTTCCAAATTACAAAATAGAAGTAGTACATCTGTACGGTCCCCCACCTCTACTTACTACATTATTATCTCACTTTCCCCCATGAAGTGCTCAGGAGCCACCAAACTTTTCTACTTGGCAAGGATCTGATATTCATTTATACCTCTGAATAATGACTAGGCCAGCATGTTACCTCTCCAGAGTTATAACCCTGCTCCCTCCCAGCAGACTTAACCCCTGGATAAAAAAATAATTAAAAATTCACGGCAATAAGGTAAACCTAGTTCTCTGAAATCTTAGCAACTTTGTTTAAAATTAAGAAAAGGCCGGGCGCGGTGGCTCGCGCCTGTAATCCCAGCACTTTGAGAGGCTGAGGCGGGTGGATCACGAGGTCAAGAGATCGAGACCATCCTGGTCAACATGGTGAAACCCCGTCTCTACTGAAAATACAAAAAAATTAGCTGGGCACAGTGGCACGTGCCTGTAATCCCAGCTACTCAGGAGGCTGAGGCAGGAGAATTGCCTGAACCCAGGAGGCGGAGGTTGCAATGAGCCGAGATTGCGCCATTGCACTCCAGCCTGGGTAACAAGAGCGAAACTCAGTCTCAAAATAAATAAATAAATAAAATTAAGAATAAAGCTGATGAGATATTTTATTATTTCTTACAATAGCTAGTACAGTTCTCTGAATATAGTATTACTTAATTTCTGGCACTATCAACAAAAATTTTTAAGAAGGACAATGTTTACATTTATTGCAGCATTTGCTACACTAAAAAAAATAATTTAAGTGTCCAACTATAGGAACATGGTTCTAATTTATGTAATAATTTCCAGCCATAACTATTTTTCTAATTCAGCTAAATTGTAACTATCATGAGTGAGAACAGTATCTCTAGTGTCTACAATAATGTTTAACATATAGTAGGTAGTCACTGAATATATGAAGAATAAATGAATTTAATTCTCTAATATCTTTACCCACCAAAAAAGAAAAGAATTCTGAAAAAGAATTCCTTTCTAAAATTTTTTTATTTATTCTCAGTTATTCTTATAACCGAGAATACGTGGTATTTGGTTATCTGTTCCTAGGTTAGTTTGATGAGGATAATGGCCTCCAGCTCCATCATATTTCTGCAAAAGACAAGATCTCGTTCTTTTTTACCTGCATAGTACATGGCATATATGCACTACATTTTCTTTATCCAATCTGTCACTGATGGGCATTTAGGTTGATTCTACATGTTTGCTATTATGAATAGTACTGCAATTCACATGCATATGTCTTTGTGGTAGAATGACTTATATTTGTCTAGGTGTAATACCAGTAATGGGACTGCTGGGTTGAACAGTAATTCTGTTTTTGGTTCTTTGAAGAATCACATTACTTTCCACAATGATTGAACTCATTTACACTCCCACCAACAGTATATAAGTCCTTCCTTTTCTCTACAACCTTGCCAGCATTTGTTACTGACTTTTTAATAATGGCCATTCTGACTGGTGTGAGATGGTATCTCATTGTGGTTTTGATTTGGATTTCTCTAATGATCAGTAATACTGAGCTTTTTTCATATGCTTGTTGGCCAAATATATGTCTTCTTTGGAAAAGTGTCTGCTCATTTCCCTTGTCTACTTTCTAATGGTTTATTTTTTCCAGTGAATTTAAGTTCCTTATAGATGCTAGATATTAGACCTTCATCAGATGCCTAGTTTGCAAATATTTTCTCCCATTCTGTAGTTTGTTTACTCTGTTGATAGTTTCTTTTGCTGTGTAGAAGTTCCTTACTTTATCTAGATCCCATTTGTCAATTTTTGTTTTTGTTGTGATTTTGACATCCTCGTCATGAAATCTTTGCCTGTGCCTATATTCAGAATGGTACTGCTTAGGTTGTCTTAGGGATTTTATAGTTTTGGGTTTTCCACTTAAGTCTCTAATCCATCTTGAGTTGATTTTTGTGTATGGTATAAGGAAGGGGTCCAGGTTCAGTATTCTGAATATGGCTAGCCAGTTATCCTAGAACCGTTTATTGAATAGTGATTCCTTTCCCCATTGCTTGTTTTTGTCAGCTTTGTCAAAGATCAGATAGTCATAGGTGTGCAGCCTTATTTCCAGACTCTCTATTCTGTTCCATTGACCTGTGTGTCTGTTTTTGTACCAGTATCATACTGTTTTGGTTACTATAGCCCTACAGTACAGTTTGAAGTCAGGTAACATGATACCTCCAGCTTTGTTCCTTTGACTTAGGAGTGCCTTGGCAATCAGCCTCTTTTTTTTTTTTTCTGATTCCATATGAAATTTTAAATAGATTTTTTCTATTTTCGTGAAGAATATCATCAATAATTTGATAGGAATGGCATTGAATCTATAAACTACTTTGGGCAGGACGGCCATTTTAATTCTATTGATTCTTCCTATCCATGAACATGGAATGTTTTTGCATTTGTTTGTGCCATCTGATTTCTTTGAACAGTGTTTTCCAGTTCTCATGGTAGAGATCTTTCACCTCCCTGGTTAGCTATTCATAGGTGTTTTATTCATTTTGTGGCAGTTGTGAATGGAATTGCATTTCTGATTTGGCTCTTGACTTTGCTACTGTAGGTATATAGGAGTTCTAGTAATTTTTATACTTTGATTTTGTACCCTGAAACTTTGCTGAAGTTGTTTATCAGCTGAAGGAGCTTTGAGACTGAGATCCTATATCTAGAAAATTTATATATAATATACGTAAATATATAGAGAGAATCCAAATATCGAATCATATCATCTGCAAACAGGAATAGTTTGACTTCCTCTCTTCCATTACGAATGTACTTTATTTCTTTCTCTTGCCTGATTGCCCTGACCAGGACTTCTGACAATTAATTTTTAGGACCACTTTACAATGCTTATTGAATACTTGCAGTTGCCTACTATTTATCATAGGAAAATATTGGGACAACTGAAATGACCAACAATTAAAAATTTTTAAAGACAACCAAATATCCCAAAATAAGTAAAGGAATTAAATGAATGAAACTATGGTAAGGTATAAAATAGTATATATTATATAATATCCCTTTTTTTTAATGTATATATATACATATATGAAGAATATGCAATGATATATACTATACAGTGAGTGGCAGCTGTCTCTAAGCAAGATATATGTGTCTGTAACACTGTTCGTTTACTAATTTGTTTGTGGTTTTTTGCTTAATGTTGGTTTTGAGCATAACATGCCCATCTGACTGTGTAATAATGTAAGTGATACCTTAATTAATGGAAATTCCATTGTCGAATATTTATATTGTATTTTTCTACCCCCGGCTAATCATTACTGGCATATATTCAGGTTAACTGACTTTTTGCCATTACAAAGAACTCAACATAAACAACTGGGTAAACCTGAATTTAAAACAATAAAGTAAAATAGGAGAGAAAATCCTGAAAAATGAATAAAATTCCTTAAAGAAAAAGAATTGTAAAATCACACCAGACATGCCAAAATCAGTGAAAACCAGTGGCCAAAGAATATTAATTTTAAATTAAATCATTCTTGAGCTTTCAAAGCAATGTTGACTACATCACAAATACTATTATTTGCAGTTCCCGGAATTTGGGATCAGGTCTTTGTCTGCATGGCTACCAAGTAAACAACAGGTACTTCATGTCTTATTCATGTGCTCTCTTCTCTGTGAAGCCTTTCCTGACTCCCCCAGACATTGGTAGATATCTATTGCCATATGCGCCCTTCTTGTACATACTTTTGTTTTACAGTTTACCATAATGTAAATATTTACATGTGTCTCTTCCATTAGATTAAAAGTTCCCTGAAAGCAGAAACCATATCTTAGCATTTTTATAATCTCTGTCCTATCCCTAATACACTGAAATATTAATGAAACTGATATAAAATTTCATAATTTTATATCTGTTTACTAAGTTACTAAATCTGACACAGTCACTTCAACAAACACTTAAGTGCCTACTTAGAGTTGAAACAATTATGGAAGGTATAAAAGGAACTAAAACCGTGGTTCTTTACTCTAAGAAGCTTAAAGGCTAATGGAGAGGTTTAGACAAGAATATAAGTAATTATAAAACACAGAATAAATCTTGGAAGTACAAATGAAGCGTTGTAAGTACACATCAAAGGAAAAAGTTAATTCTGTCTGTCAAGGAGGGATCAGGAAAAGTCTCCTGGAAGAGTCAGTATATGAAAGAAGCTTTAAAGGATATTAGGATTTTAAAAGGTACAAATGGTAAGAAAATATAGAGAACTGGCTGGGCTCATGCCTGTAATCCAAGCACTTTGGGAGGCTGTGGCAGGTAAATCACTTGAGACCAAAAGTTTGAGACAAGCTTGGCGAACATGGTGAAACCCGATCTCTACCAAAAAAAACAAAAATTAGCCAGGTATGGTGGCACGCACTTGCAGTCCTGGCTACTCGGGAGGCTGAGGCACAAGAATCACTTGAACCCAGGAGGCAGAGGTTGCAGTGAGCTAAGATCACCCCACTGCACTCCAGCCTGGGCAACAGAGTGAGACTCTATCCACCACCCCCATCCCACAAAAAGAGAGAGAGAGAACTGAGTAGAATCCAGTCTCACTTTCATATACAGTAGATGAGGAAGGATATTTTTTTAAAAAATTAGAAAAATAGAGTAGGATTAGGTTCCTGAACATTCTTAATTTAGAAATTTGGAGAAGTCAGTTTACAACCATTTAAACTAGCAAAATGAGATTTCTTCTTTACACTCCAAACTATACCTTGAAAAAAATTTTACTTTACCGTCAACTAACTTTTAGAACCCAAAGATTATCAATTCTACAGGTGATTTTTTTTTCACACATGCTTTTCATCAGAGTAGTCAGATTAGGTCGGATTTTAGGAAGGGAGAATTAAAGACAAATTTCAAATTGAGTATAATGATTTTCAACATATCCCAAGTGTCCCATATAAAATAAATCTTAATTCTATTTCATTTGTGCTAAGAAAAAAATGAAAATGCCTTGTCTAAGATCCAAAACTAGAAGAAAATTAAAGAAAATATACTTACTGTAACACAACCTTTAGAAGCTCCTTTTATTTTACCGATATAAACAGAAGTAAATATAAAATCCAGTTGTAGATCCATCTCATTATTAGGCATAATACTGGAAATGTTTTCCATGACAGGATTATATGGGCATAATTCAGATGACATCTAACAAGGAATAAGTCATAAAATGCATATAACTATAATTATTCTATAAATGCTGAAAATAACTTTCACTGTCAAATTCTTATATAAATTATTATTAGTGAATTTTTGAAGAATTTTATACTGTTCTGTGAAGAAATCATTATCTAGACTTTTTTTCTGAAAAAATAAATGACTTACCTTTGAGAAAATTACACTAAATAGTTGAATCCAAAATTAATTTCACAGCCTAAGCTCCAGAAATATATACTCCTCTGTATCAAAGCCATGGTTTCACATTCAGTAGTCTCTAATAGGTTTTATTCATTTTTAACCTGACAGAAGTAAGTTTTAAATATATATGCACTTTTGTTTAAAATGAGTTTTTAAATATATAATCTCTTTTAATCCCCACAATCACCCTATAGGCAGGATTTTTAGTTTTCCATTTCATGAATAAAGTTAATGGATGTTTACAATGGTTAAGTGACTTGACCAAAATTATGTGATTAGTAAGAAGCAAAATGAAGATTCAAATGTAGGTTTCCCTCTCTAGGTCCAGGGTCACTTCAACCACATAAAATTATTCCCATTAACCAAAATGGCATTCTTGCTACTGCCCTTTAAAAAATTATTTTTATTTTAGATTCAGGGGGTACATTGGCAGAGTTGTTACAAATGTATATTACATGATGCTGAGGTTTGGGCTTCTATTGAACCTGTCATGCAGATAGTACCCAACGGGAAGTTTTACAGGCCTAGCTCCCTTATCCCTCCCCCAACTTTTGGAGTCTCCAGTGTCTACTGGTCCCATCTTTAGGCCTGTGTGATACTGTACTTTTAATGTGCCATGAAGGAATGTAAATGCCTAAGAACCATCTGTTATATCAAATTTATATGCTTTATTGTATACTCTATGTTTGAAGACAACCAACCAGGAATGGCTTATACTTGCCTAAAACCTCAAATATCACCTCACTTCCACTCAAATGACTACATAACTTTGCTTTTATATAAAAGAAAAATAGGCAGTATCAGCAGCAACTCTTTCTCACAATTTCTTCTAAATTTTACACGACTTTCAGGTGACTGTTTCAACTTTTTCAAACGTGCCCAAGCTCGGCACATTATTCCTAACATCACACATGACCAAAGAAACAGATTATCACTAAAGCCATTATTATGCATATACACTCACTCCCCTCTTACCTCTAGCAAATGTGACTAATCCTCATCTAAAACATGTATCATACTCATTATTTTAAACCCAGCTCCTAACGCCATTTACCTGCTTAATTGAATTTGTCATTCTCATGTTTATTTATTATACTATTATATTCACTTCACATTTTGTAAAAAAAAGAAAAAAACTACCTGGCTCCTAAAAGTGACCAATCCATATTTCTCATAATTCATTTAAAACTGGAATGGAAGACAGTGTGGCGATTCCTCAAGGCCTTAGAAATAGAAATTCCATTTGACCCAGCAATCCCATTACTGGGTATATATCCAAAAGACTATAAATCGTTCTACTATAAGGACACATGTACACGAATGTTCATTGCAGCACTGTTTACAATAGCAAAGACCTGGAATCAACCCAAATGCCCATTGATAATAGACTGGATTGGAAAAATGTGGCACATATACACCATGGAATATTATGCAGCAATCAGAAATGATGAGTTCGTGTCGTTTGTAGGGACATGGATGAATCTGGAGAACATCATCCTCAGCAAACTGACACAAGAACAGAAAATGAAACACCGCATATTCTCACTCATAGGTGGGTGATGAAAAATGAAAACACATGGACACAGAAAGGGGAGTACTAAACACTGGGGTCTATTGGGGGAAAAAGGGGAGGGCTAGTGGGAGGGGGAGGTGGGGAGGGATAGCCTGGGGAGAAATGCCAAATGTGGGTGAAGGGGAGAAGAAAAGCAAAGCACACTGCCATGTGTGTACCTACGCAACTGTCTTGCATGCTCTGCTCATGTACCCCAAAACCTATAATCCAATAAAAAATTAAAAAAAAAAAAAAACTGGAATGAGAGAGCATACAGATGTGGCATTCTGCCATATATGTCTTGGTAGATCTCCACAGTATTGGCTGCTTGGTTGTGATTATGAATTTAGTAAATTCTACAAGATACGTTATTTTCTTATAATATGATCAGTTCATACTGCATTGTCAATTGATACATTGCCAAGGCCTAATTCTTCTACAAGTTTAAATTGATTATCAACATTGTCACTTTTAATTATATATACAACTAAACCATCAAGTAGGATATTGACCCAATCTGGGAAAAACAGTTACATTTTTGCAAAAATTCAGAACAAAGCTGCTGAGGTGATTTCTACATGGAATATCAAATGCAAACGCAAATACCCATAAAACAATAATCAGACCAAACTTCACACACTGCAAAATGACAGTCTCTGACATTATTCAAAAACAAAACAAAAGAAGTTTACCATAATTCTGCACTGATGGCCAATGACAATCTTTTCTTACAAACAGAATAATCAGAGGCTAATAATAAGAAAGAGCACCAGCCAAGAGCAGTAGCTCATGCATGTGATCCCAGCACTTTAGGAGGTAGAGTTAGGATTGCTTGAGCCCAAGACTTAGAGAGCAGCCTGAACAACACGGGAAAACATCATCTCTACAAATAATATATATTTTAAAAACATGAGCCAGGCATGCTGGCACAAGCCTATGATCTCGGCTCCCTGAGAGGCTGAATGAGAGGGATGCTTGAGCCCCAAGAGATTGAGGCTGCAGTAAGCCATGATCACGCCACTGCACTCCAGCCTGGGTAACAGAGAAAGACCCTGGAAATAAAAAAAGAAAGAGACAGAAAGAGAAATAAAGAGAGAGAGAGAGCACAAGAGAGACTGAGAAGGAGGGAGGGAGGGAGGGTCAGTCCAAGATGGCTGAATAGGAAAAGCTCTGGAGTGCAGTTCCCAGAGAGAATGCAGAGAGTGAGTGATCACTGCATTTCCAAATGAATTTTTACTGCCCACAGACCAGGGGATTCCTGGGCAGAAAAGTGCCACGAGTCTCCAGCACAGTAGTTTCAGCTGGTGCAGCAGGTCTCCCCACAAAAACTCAAACAAATATGGACACCATTTCAACTGGTTCCTGGACCACCTGGGAGACAGAGTCACCTATTCAACTGAAAAAGAGTGGGCTGAAACAGGGAGCCAGGTGATCTGGCTCAGCCGGTCCCACCCCCACAAAGACCAGCAATCTGAAACACTCTGGATTGAAAGTTTCACAGCAAGCACAGCTGGACTAGGGACAATCAAGCTCTGTGGGGGAAAGGACATCAGCCATTACTGAGGCAGTCCACCACTATCAAGGCAGTCCGCCATTACTGAGGCAGTCCACCATTACGAGGCAGTCCACCATTACTGAGACAGTCCGCCATTACTGAGGCAATCTGCCATTACCAAGGCAGTCCACCATTACAGAGACAGTCTGCCATTACTGAGGCAATCCGCCTGTACAGAGACAGTGTGCCATTACTGAGGCAGACTGCCATTACCAAGACAGTTCTAACTATATCTCTATAAAGAAAACCACAAGGTAGTTCACACAACAGCTGAGCAGAGCCCATGGCAGCTCAGCAACACCTCTGCTGGCAGACTGTAACTAGGCTACCTCCTTGCTGGACAGGGCATCACTGAAAAAAAGGTGGCAGCAGGTCAGGAACTTATAAATAAAGCCCCCCTTCCCAGGACAGAATGCCTGGGAAAAAAAGGTGATTATGAGCTCCACTGCAGCAGACTTAAATGTACCTGCCCAGCAGCACTGAATGGAACAACAGAGCTCACAGCTCAGCACTTGAGCTCCTATAAGGGACAGATTGTCTCCTCAAGCAGCTCCTTGACCCCTCTCCCTGTATATCCAAGGAGACACCTCATAAAGGAGAGCTCAGGCTGACATCTGGCAGGTATACTTCTGGGACAGAGATAACAGAAGAAGAAACTTGCAGAAGCCCTTACTGTTCTGCAGCTGCTGCAGGTGATCCCCAGGCAAGCAGGGTCTGGAGTGTACTTCCAGGAGTCCTGCAGCAGAGGGACCTGACTGTTAGAAGGAAAACTAAAAAACAGAAAGAAATAATTTCTTCATCAACAAAAAGGACATCCACTCGGAGATCCCATCTGTAAGTCACCAACTACAAAGACAACAGGTAGATAACTCCACAAAAATGGGAAGACACTCCCAAAACATGCCAAATGGTAAAGAGCATCACCACAATGAAGAAACTGTGTCAACTAATGGGCAGAACAACCAGCTAGCATCAAAATGGCGGATAGAATTCACACTTAACAATATTAACCTTAAAAGCAAATGGGCTAAATGCTGCAATCAGAAGACACAGACTGGCAAATTGGACAAAAAGTCAAAAGTGATCGGTGTGCTGTATCCAGGAAACCCAGCTCACTAGCAAGGATACACATAGGCTCAAAATAAAGGGATGGAGGAAGATATACCAAGCAAATAGAGAGCAAAAAAAAGCAGGAGTTGCAAACCTAGTCTCTGATAAAATAGACTTTAAAGCAACAAAGATCAAAACAGACACAGAAGGGCATTACACAATGGTCAAAGGATCAATGCAACAAGAGCTAACAATCCTAAATATATACACACCCAATACAGGAGCACCCAGATACATAAAGCAAGTTCTTAATGACCTACAAAGAGACTTAGACTCCCACACAGTAATAGTGGGAGGCCTTAACACTCCACTGTCAATATTAGACAAGATTAACGAGACAGAAAATTAAGGATATCCAGGACTTGAACATAGATCTCGACCAAGCAAAACTAATAGACATCTACAGAACTCTCAACCCCAAATCCACAGAATATACATTCTTCTCAGCACCACATCACATGTACTCTAAAACTGACCACATAACTGGAAGAAAATCACTCCTCAGCAAATGCAACAGAACGGAAATTATAACAAAAAACTCTTAGACAACAGTACAATCAAATTAGAACTCAGGATTAAAAAACTAACTCAGAACCGCACAACTTCATGGAAAATGAACAACTGGCTCTTGAATGTTGACTGGATAAACAATGAAATGAAGGCAGAAATTAAGATATTCTTCGAAACCTACAAGAACAAAGACACAACGTACCAAAACTCTGGGACACATTTAAAGCAGCGTCTAGAGGAAAATTTATAGCAATAAATGCCCACATGAGAAGCAATGGAAGACCTAAAATAGATGCCCTATCATCAAAATTGAAAGAGTTAGAGGAGCAAGATAAAAAAAACTCAAAACCTAGCAGAAGACAAGAAATAACTAAGATCAGAGCAGAACTGAAGGAGACAGACACACAAAAAACTCTTCAAAAAATTAATAAATCCAGGAGCTTGTTTTACAAAAAAACAACAAAACAGAAAGACCACTAGCCAGATTAATAAAAAAGAAAAGAGAAGAATCAAATAGATGCAATAAAAAAAGATAACGGGGATATCACCACTGATCCCACAGAAATACAAACAACCATCAGAGATTACTACAAACAATTCTATGCACATAAACTAGTAAACCTAGAAGAAATAGATAAATTTCTGGACACTTGCACCCTCCCAAGCCTAAACCAGGAAGAAGTCGAAATCATGAATAGACCAATAACAAGGTCTGAAGTTGAGGCAGCAATTCATAGCTTACCACCAAAAAAGCCTAGGTCCAGATGGGTTCACAGCGGAATTCTACAAGACATACAAAGAAGAGCTGGTACCACTCCTTCTGAAACTATTTCAAACAATACAAAAAGAGGGAATTCTTCCTAAATCATTTTATGAGACCAACATCATCCTGATACCAAAACCCGGCAGAGACTCAACAAGAAAAGAAAACTTCAGGCCAATAGCCATGATGAACATAGATGCAAAAACCTTCAATAAAATACTGGCAAACTGATTGCAACAGCACATCAAAAAGCTTATCCATCAGGATCAAGTAGGCTTCATCCCGGGGATGCAAGGCTGGTTCAACATATGCAAGTCTATAAACGTAATTCACACATAAAAAGAACCAAAGAAAAAAACTACATGATTATCTCAATAGATGCAGAGAAGAGGAGAAGACCTTCAACAAAATTCAATAGCCGGTATTGATGGAACGTATCTCAAAATAATAAAACCTATTTATGACAAACCCACAGCCAATATCATAATGAATGGGCAAAAACTGAAAGCATTCCCTTTGAAATCTGGCACTAGGCAAGGATGCCCTCTCACCACTCCTATTCAATATAGTATTGGAAGTTCTAGACAGAGCAATCAGGCAAGAAAGAGAAATAAAGTGTACTCAATTAGGAAAGAAGAAAGTCAAATTGTCTCTATTTGCAGATGACAAGATTGGATATTTAGAAGATCCCATCGTGTCAGCCCAAAATCTCCTGAAACTGATAAGCAACTTCAGCAAAGTCTCAGGATATGAAATTGATGTGCAGAAATCACAAGCATTCCTATACACCAATAATAGACAAACAGAGAGCCAAATCAAGAATGAACTGCCATTCACAATTGCTACAAAGAGAATAAAATACCTAGAAATAGAACTAACAAAGGATGTAAAGGACCTCTTCGAGGAGAACTACACACCACTGCTCAAGAAAATAAGAGAGGACACAAACAGATGGAGAAACATTCCATGCTCATGGTTAGGAAGAATCAATATTGTGAAAATGGCCATACTGCTCAAAGTAATTTATACATTCAACACTATGCCCATCAAGCTACCAATGACCCTCTTCACAGAACTGGAAAAAACCACCTTAAACTACATATGGAACCAAAAGAGAGTCCGCACAGCCAAGACATTTCTAAGCAAAACAAACTAAGCTGGAGGCATCACGCTACCTGACTTCAAACTATATTACAAGGCTACAGTAATCAAAATAGCATGGTACTGGTACCAAAACAGAGATATAGACCAATGGAACAGAACAGAGGCCTCAGAGCAATGCCACACACCTACAACCATCTGATCTTTGACAAACCTGGCAAAAACAAGCAATGGGAAAAGAATTCCCTGTTTAACAAATGGTGTTGCGAAAACCGGCTAGCAGTGTGCAGAAAGCAGAAGCTGGACCACATCCTGACACCTTACACTAAAATTAACTCCTGATGGATTAAAGACTTAAACATAAGACCTAACACCATAAAAACCCTAGAATAAAACCTAGGCAAAACCATTCAGGACATAGGCGTATGCAAGGACCTCATGACTAAAACACCAAAAACATCAGCAACAAAAGCCAAAACAGACAAATGTCATTCAATTCAACTCCAGAGTTTTTGCACAGCAAAAGAAACAATCATTAGAGTGAACTGACAAACAACAGAATGAGAAAAAATTTTTGCGATCTACCCATCTGACAAAGGGCTAATATCCAGAATCTAAAAAGAACTAAAGCAGATTTACAAGAAAAAACAAACCCATCCAAAAGTGGGCAAAGGATATAAACAGACACTTTTCAAAAGAATACATGTATGAGGTCAATAAATAAATCATCACTGGTCACTAGAGAAATGCGAATCAAAACCACATTGAGATAACCATCTCACACCAGTTAGAATGGCAATTCTGGAGACAACAGATGCAGAAGAGGATGTGGAGAAATAGGAACACTTTTACACTGTTGGTGGGAGTGTAAATTAGGTCAACCATTGTGGAAGACAGTGTGGCAATTCCTCAAGGACCTAGAAATAGAAATTCCATTTGACCCAGCAATCCCTTTACTGGGTATATATTTAAAGGATTATAAATCATTCTATTATAAAGACACATGCACAAGTATGTTTACTGCAGCACTGTTTAAAATAGCAAAGACCTGAAACAAACCCAAATGCCCATGGATGATAGACTGGACAGGGAAAATGTGGCACATATACACCATGGAATACAGGCAGCCATAAAAAATGATGAGTTTGTGTCCTTTGTAAGGATATGGATAAAGCTGGAAACCATCATTCTCAGCAAACTGACACAAGAACAGAAAATCAAACACATGTTCTCACTCATAGGCAGGCGTTGAACAATGAGAACAGATGGACACAGGGAGGGGAGCATCACACACTCGGGTCTATTGGTGGAAACTAGGGTAGGGACCACAGGGGTTATGGAGTTGGGGAGGGATAACATGGGGAGAAATGCCAGATATTGGTGATGGGGATGGAGGCAACACACCACAATGCCATGTATGTACCGATGCAACAATCCTATATGTTCTTTACATGTACCCTAGAACCTAGAGTGCAATAATATATATATATATACTTAAAATAAAGAAAGAAACAAAGAATAAATACTGATAATAAATGATTTGAGCCTATTTTAGACCTACACTCTTTAAAGGACTGAACTAATTGACTAATACTAAACTAAGACACTTCCATTTATTATTTTCTGTAAGAAGGAAGAAACTTATAGTTTCTGACCTGTATCCCCAAAGCCATGTTCTTTCCTCTATATTATACTGCCTTCATAGTATGTGAGAAAAAGGAATAATTCCAAGTAGCCAAAATACTCCAAGACCAGACATATAAATATTAGAAAATGTATTTAATTCTACAAAATGTTATTGAAATGTCCAATGAAAGCCATAAAAAATTTCAAGTAATATTTGGACTGAAAAAATATAAATGACCAGAAAAAAATGGTATAATCTTTTATTTCAAAATAAAGACAACTATGTATTTCACTCAAACTACTATAAAAAAGTTGTCTCAAAATTCAAACTAAGAAAATTTCTAATTTTCATTATAATATTCTGCTTGATAAAACAAGTAACAGTCATTAACAATAGTGTATATTTCATTGCTAATCTGTGAGAAGATAGAAGTAAATTACCTGCACAGATTCACGTGTAATCAATGGTAGTTCTGACAATGCTGATTCAGAAGTACTCTCATTTTCATCAGTTGACTCATGGTCTTGCTTAGGTTGTAACTTAAGAACTTCTGAATTTTTATGTTCAAGAGGTCCTTCTTCATCACTGGAAACAACAACTAAAAAGGAAAAAAAAATGTACTTTTATTTATTCTTTTTTTTTCAGATACAGTCCCCTGATCTCAGCTCACTGCATTCTCCACCTCCCATGCTCAAGCAATTCTCCTGCCTCAACCTCCCAAGTAGATGGGATTACAAGCACCCGCCACCAGGCCAGCCAACTCATATTTTTAGTAGAGATGGGGTTTTACCATGCTGGCCAGGCTGGTCTCAAACTTCTGACCTCAGGTGATCCACCTGCCTCAGCCTCTAAAACTGCTGAGATTATAGGCGTGAGCTACTGCACCCAGCCAAAAAAAAATTTATTTTAAATGTGTAACAATAATATATTAAAAAAAAAAAAAAAAAAAAAACTTTCAGCCGGGAATGGTGGATCACTCCTGTAATCCCAGGACTTTGGGAGGCTGAAGTGGGTGAACCCCCTGAGGTCAGGAGTTCGAGACCAGCCTGGCCAACATGGTGACCCCATCTCTACTAAAAATACAAAAATCGGCTGGGCGTAATGGCTCATGCCTGTAATCCCAGCACTTTGAGAGGCCAAGACAAGCAGATCACCTGAGGTCAAGAGTTCAAGACCAGCCTTACCAACATGGAGAAACCCTGCCTCTACTAAAAACACAAAATTAGCCGGGTGTGGTGATGCATGCCTGTAATCCCAGCTACTTGGAGGCTAAGGTAAGACAATCGTTTGAACCTGGGAGGCAGAGGTTGCGGTGAGCCGAGACGTGCCACTGCACTCCAGTCTGGGCAACAAGAGTGAACCACCATCTCCAAAAATAATAATAGTAATAATACAAAAATTTAGCCGAGCATGCTGTCGCACACCTGTAATCCTACCTACTCAGGAGGCTGAGGCAGGAGAATTGCTTGAGCCCAGGAAGCAGAGGTAGGTAGCAGTGAGCTCAGATCGCATCACTGCACTCCAGCCCAGCTAACAGAGCCAGACTCTGTCTCAAAAAACAAAAAAAAAGAACTTTCTAATTAATGGAATTTATTTTAAACAATCCTGTTAAATTTAATCATCTAAATTTATTCAATTTAGAAACACACCTATTATTTTTATCTGATTTATAGCAGTTATACACAATGACTCCGTATCAACACAATTATTCAACAGTTACCTGCACCCTCACCTTCTAAAGAATAAAGATGTTTAAAAATGGATAAAACCGTGAGGAGGCCTTAGGAACAAGTTCTAGTTCTAACAGTGTATTGTGCCACCACTAAATCATACTTTCATTCTTGTTACATGAATTGCTTCAAGGAGGGGGAAATGAATAACTAGGGGAAGATGTGGGAGACTATTCTCTGGAGAGCCTCTAAAACCTTTGAAATTTCATTGTAGCAGGTGATGGCATCAAATACTCAGAGGCTACTTAAATCAAAATTAATAATTAGATAGCACTTAAACTCTCCACACTTCAACTTCATCAACTAAATGACACTAATGATGGTCCTTAAAGAATCTATTTTTAAACTACTGAGATTACAGTGTACTAATCTAAGAAAAAATTACTTCTGTTTTCAAGTCCTCCATTAGTTTACCTAAATACACATATATATATATATATATATATATATATTTGAGACGGAGTTTCACTCTTGTTACCCAGGCTGGAGTGCAATGGCGCGATCTCGGCTCACCGCAACCTCTGCCCCCTGGGTTCAGGCAACTCTCCTGCCTCAACCTCCTGAGTAGCTGGGATTACAGGCACGCGCCACCATGCCCAGCTAATTTTTTGTATTTTTAGTAGAGACAGGGTTTCACCATGTTGACCGGGATGGTCTCAATCTCTTGACCTTGTGATCCACCCGCCTCGGCCTCCCAAAGTGCTGGGATTACAGGCTTGAGCCACCGCGCCCGGCCCCTAAATACATATTTTAAGTCTTATGAAGGAGACCCCAAACTCCAAGCCTTTTTTCCTAAAGTTAATATATTCCACAGTGATGTCATAAACAGCTTATTGCCTTAGCCAAATTTGTTCAAGAGGAAGAAAAAACAACTAAGTAAAACAGAGGAAATTAAGTAACTTTATAATCCTCCTGTCACTTACTTGGTTCAGCTGAGATCAATGACTGGTTCCCTTCATTACATCCTCTTAGAATAGGCTTTTCTATGGTATTCAACTCAGTCTCATCCTTCTCAATCAGGGAAGAAATCCCCACATTATCAGTGGAATTAGAGCTCTGAACAATTTCAGTGGTTGAACAGGCAGAGGCACTTTTGGTGGTGTTACTGAAAGCCAACTCCTGACTGTTAAGTGAGGATAGTTTACTAAAATCACTTGTTGTAGGTGTAGATGTAATTTCTTCAAGCAGTTTTGGATCCTGATGATAGTTTTCACTTGACTTTTCAAACTCAGTGGATATTGTTGAGTCATCATCTTGTTTTTTCTAAACATAAACACAGAGAAAAAAGAGCATTTTTCAAATTTGGCTTGCTTAATCCATTTTTAAATTCTTAAAAAATATATAAAAGGGACAATATTGTATCATTTCTATAAGTAGATGGATAGAAAACTAAACAATGACACTACATTATGCTTGATACTGTCTCCCAAGTATAAAGATACAGGGTTTGGTCTGTCCAATCTGATGCCTGATAATTTTTTAAAGGGCAAAATTAGGAGATTTCCATCTTTACAAATGCTTTATCAGACGGTCTGCCACTATCTAAGTCAACTTTAGAATAAGATTTATTTATATATTTTTATTTTGCAAAAGTAATAACGCCAATGTGACCAACTACTTTGGTTTAAAAATTTAAAAATTAACAATATAACATTAAGAATTCTGAAAATCAACCATTGCCTTCAATATCTCATTTACTGTATAAATCTAAATCATGTTTGTAATTACAACCCCAAAACATTACAAGGTCCTGAAATGATTTACAGATCAAAGAAATTGAAGACCTGTCTTGCTGTTTTATTGCCATCTATATATTAAGTCTTTGAAAACAGAAAATGTATATATTTAATACGGTAATTATTTACTTACAGTAAATTCCCTAAACACATCAGATAAACAGAAGCTTAAAGAATTTGGTAAGTAAATTACTACTGATAAATACATCTAATAATAATTTTACAGAGCAAGTAAAAAAGCGAGTGACTGGACAGCATGAATAGTATTTGGCTGAATTAAGGAAAAAGAAAAGCCTAAAGGATATATAACAAACTACTAAGGAAAGAGTGATACAAGAAAAGGAGAAATTTAAACTTTTTTACTCATTCATAATATTTGAAATTTGTTCCAATAACTCTTTATCACCAAGAAAAGTTACATTTAAAATTGTTTCTTAAAAATAAAGCTAACAGTGAACCAAAAAAGAAAGAAAGAAATCTGATACTAAAAACAGAAAACTTTCTCCCCTTCCCATGCAACTGTATTGCATGCTCTGCACATGTACCCCAAAACCTAAAATGCAATAAAAAAATAAAAATAAAAAAATTTTAAAAATTAAAAAAAAACAAACAGAAAGATAGAGGAACATTATCTGGCCACAGTCAACTCATTTTTATTACAGCATAAAATTATTTCCTATAATATCACCTCTACTTACTGTCTGTTCTGTTGACATATCCAAAGAAGTACAATTTTGAGAATCAGGTAAATTATTTCTAAGCCTTCTCTTTCTCTTCCGGGAAATCAGAGTAGGTTCTATTTTTGAATCAGAATATTTAACATCCTTGTTTCTGCTTTCCTGTTCAAGATGATGACAATCTCTACTTCCACTGGTAAGGTCTTAGAAAACAAATTAAGTATAAATATGGGCAAAAACGTATAGAGAGAATCTCTTAGAAGAGCTCAAAGAAACATCATCAAAATTGCTATACTACTTCCAAAGCTCATTAAAACAGAAGTGTATGGTTAAATTATCATACTGACACTGGATGACGGTAAAGGCATGCCCCATTTTAATTGGTATACACCAAGTAAATGTTCCAAGTAAATACACCAAGTAAATGCCCCATTTTAATTGGTATACACACAAAGTAAATAGTTGTGAGGTGAGAAAAATACATAAGGAAGAAATATTCTTTTTCAGAGTAGCCAAAGCAAAGCAACCAAACTGTTTTTCTATTTGCTATAAATGCATTTGGCTGCACTATGAAAAAAAGGGTGTCTTACTAAAATCTGGAAAAATTCATGTCTTAAAGTTTGATAATTCAACATGACTTTATAAACTAGTCTTTTAAAAATGTAATTTACATACATATTTTTAGTGGAAAGGGACTATAATTTGAAAGAGTGTTTATCGCTGCTTTTTAAAAAGGAGCCAAAAATATCTTTCCTCAGTAGTTGACTGTAATATGTGATCATTCACAGGGTTACCAATTTACTTGTCAGTTTATTTCTTCTTTTCAATAATCAAGACTATGTCCTTTTAAGTCTCCAATAAATCCCTTAGTCTAGAGAAGTGCTTCCTTTTTTAAGTCAACAAGACATCATTTTGAAAACCATGCCAATCATTACTAAAAAATTTAATATTTCTGTTATCAGATATATGTACCATACAAAAATGCCTTCTAAAAGTCTCCTCTTAATTAACTAAAATTTCTCCTGAATTATCTTGCTTTCTGAATCTATGTCATATAAGTACCAACTCGAAGTTTATACAAGTCACAAAGCAGTTGCCTTTAATTCACCATTTTCAATTCATCTAACTGACTGGCCTAACTTCTCCATTCAAGGAAAGTTCATGATTTTTAAAATCTTCTCTTCACACTATTCTTGCTTTTACTCTAACTTCAACAATTCCTAATAATTAATATTCATGATAATTTGTCTTTGACATTGCTTAAAGGAAGGCACTGAAACAGGACTGAGGGTAAAAATTCCAAGATAGTCAATTGCCTTTCAATTTACAGAGAAAACACCTTACTCACTCCCTAAGGAAAATAAAACTCCTCCCAAATCATCAACACAATATTTAGGACAGCATGTTAAATTTTATATGTAATACTGTAAACTATAAAAGTGGTCAAATACAATTTCTACACATAATGTATCAAACTATAATTTCTAAACATAAATATTGTACTACAATAAAAAGACTCAAAAATTATACTACAATAAAAAGACTCATAAAAGGAAAAGGGCTTGAGAAAAACTTGATTATACAGGAGTCTCATTTTAAACAATTTATTATTTGCTATCAGTCAAGACTGTCTCATGGAAAAAGGAATAACTTTGTTAAATAGAATGAAATATTGTAAAAATAGGATTCCACTTGCATTATATATATATATATATATATATATATATATATATATATATATATAAAATTTAACCTGAAAATACTACTGGCATATATAACTAAAGAGGTAGCAAAATCCTGTAAACAAAAGAATATTATTTCCAAGGTATTATGTGGTAAAAGCAAATTCCAAAAGGCAAACAATGCACTACCAAAAAAAAAAAAAAAAAAAAAAAAAAAAAAAAAAAAACCGGTACACCTAAGGTTTAATTCCAAATTTCCATTAATTTACAGGTTTTTATTAAATAACTGGTATCAGATGTAGGAGGGTAAACACTGCTTCAATAAAGGTACAACAGCTAATTTTATTAAAAACACTTTCCCTACCAGTTGCAGTACCTTCAGGGATACTGAAAAACTAAAAAGTGTTTCTTTTGTCATGTACTTTCCCCTTATGCATGTCTACGATGCCGCTGTAATCTTGAGGGAATACTCCTGGGTACAAATCAGAAAGTATTTGATTCAAGTCAATATGAGGACTGTTAGCCTCAGATTCTATCACTTTCCTAGGTAGAGCAGGAATCTTTGTCTTGATAACATCTGAACTGACCCCACTTGTACAAATACTTATATTTTTACTTGGTAAAATACAGTCATCCTTCAGTATCCTCAGGGTTCCAGGGACTCAGGATACCAAAACTGATGGATCCATAAGCCCCTAAAGGTAAAATATTTACATATAACCTGCATATATTCTCCTTTATAGTTTAAATAATCTCTAGATTACTTATAATACCCAATACAACATAAATACTATGTAAATAGTTGTTACACTGTTTTTTATTATTGTATTATTTTTATTAAGGTGTTTTCAAATATTTTCCATCTGTGGTAGATTGAATCTGCAGATACAGAATACAAAGATACAGAGAGATGACTGTAATTATTTCTAAGAAAAGTATAGTTTATAAGCAAATTAATGTTTTTCATTATACGTTGACAGTACTTAGTGACTAACTGGAAATTGATCTGTACAAAGTCTCAGCACATTTTCCAAAGACTGCCTTTACAAGAGTTTCAGCTGGTTTCTTGTACAAATAAAAGTTGTTAGTCTAATTTCTTTTTTTTTAACAAAAAAGAATCTTTAAATAGTTGTGCTCCAAATGAAGTGGATTTTGCATAGTGTCATTAAAATACTTTTTTTTTGTATCGTGAATAACTTATGAAATCACTCAAAAATAAAACAGTGGCAAGGCTCATGCCTATAATCCCAGTATTTTGGGAGGCCGAGGCAGGGAGATATCTGGAGCCCAGGCATTTGAGACAGCCTGGGCAACATGGCACGACGCTATCTCTGCAAAATACAAAAACTTAGGTGTGGTGGTGCATACCTATATTCTCAACTACTCAGGAGGCTGATGTGGGGGAGAATCACTTAAGCCCAGGAGGTAGAGGCTGAAGTGAGCTGTGATCATGTGTGATCATGCCACTGTACTCCAGCATAGGTGACAGAGTCATGCCCTGTCTCAGAAAAAGTAAAAGAAAAAGAAAAGAAAGGAAGAAACAGACCTCAACAAACATTTGAAGCTATCGATAATCCAAGAGACCCTGAAGGTGTTAGTTTCACAATAATGTAGTAAAATTATTTTTCTCTAAATATCAGTAAACTATTTTTAATTCTTGAAAGAGAGACAAAAAAGAAAAAGAAATCAAATCACAAATCCTATATGCAAGGAGGCCTACGAAAAATTTTCAGAAGTCTAGGAAGTATTTACCTTCAAATTTGCTAATAGTGGCTTGTTTTGGCATCCTCCTAAAGTTGAGAGAAATTCTAATGAATAGAGAATGTATTTCATAGTAGGCGAATAGACAGTGATAAGCTAATAATAAAAACTCAGTTAGCAGTAACTTTAATATCCATGGAAACAACACCTAGAAATAGCTAAACATAACTTCATAGCCATATCCCAGTCTCCCCAAAGAAGAAAACAAATATCCAAATTTAACTTTTGGAATTAGTAAATAAATCTGGAAATGAGTACTACACCACATCAAGAGGAGGTTTTGCAACTCTTATGTTGCCAAATAATCTCCCTTTACTTTCACATATCCTTTTAAAGTAAAATGAAATACTTTATTTATAACAAAAATTATTATAAATACAATAGGCACAAACTCAAATTCCAATAGTTTTCTAAGGTTCACAAACCTTTAGGCTGAGTATCAGACATTAAAAGAGAAATGCTGTCATCAGCTTTTCGTTTTTCTTTACTGTGTGAGGCCTGCTTCCCAGAATTGTTGTCTGTCTGACTTTGTTGTGAGTACCTGCAGAAAAGATTTGTATTATACTCAGTTCTAATACAGCCCAAATGAATTTAGAAACCTAATGGCATAAATTTAAAAATCCAAAAGGTTACAAACACAGTCCCACATGGCATACTGTAAGATCTGGTCTGGATGGTGAAAAATATGTATTGAATTCGGATTTAAGAAATAAGCTATCTTTCTTTTCCACCTTTAAATTCCCCATGTGTGTTTTCGGGGGGAAAAGGGCTATCAACATTGGAGGATTGTACACATGCAAAATGAGCAAGAGAGTAATATTATACAAGTATTAAATAAGTTAGGGTTAAAAAGTGAAATTCCAAGAACACAAGTACCCCGATAATCAAACAATTACACGCCAAAGCTGAATGTTATTATATTTCAAGCACGGTTTATGTATCAAAAAGTAAGTGTGGTAACAAATTTCCAATAGTACGTGGCAATAAATTTTACCTATAGAGAAAATAATTTAAAGCCTAAGGTACTGGTAAAATAACAAATTTCGAAATGACAGGCACAATATTATTACTAATAAAAATTTAGAAATATAAAACATACTATAATGTATAAATGCATACATGTAAAATAAAATATAAAAATTTAGACTGGAAGGATTCAAGCCTATCTGGATAGTAGATAACTCTAAAGAAGGACAGTAATAGAATCAGGGAATATAAAATAAATAAGTTTTCAACTTTCTATAATACTTAAAAAAAATTAAATCTAAAAAAATAAAGAATTATGTTGGTTAAATCTCAGTGATATGTATTGGGATTTTAGTCTCCTTATGTACATATTTAAAGTATTTTATAATTCAAAAAATATAAATAATTTACATCTAAGGCAACTAGTGTAAGTCAAAAACAAGGACTATAAAGGCCAACAACACATAACGCCTCTTTGTCTTGAGAGAATTATTTGGAAGGCTAAAAATTACTTCTATTATAAATAAAAAAGCTACAGTATTCAAACATTGCCAGTGTAGTGTCATAAAGAAAGAGTCATTGCTCCTATTACATTGCTCATTTTCATATATACTTTGGTACAATTTTCTTTATTTTCAGATTGGAAATTAAAAGACCAAATAATCAAAATTGTGAGGGAGGGTGAGCCACTTTCACTTGCAAAGAGATTCTGACTGAGTCCAATTATTCCACTCCTCAACCCTCAAGAATCATTCAACCAGAGCTTGGTGATAACCTTTAGCAGTAGAATATAAATAACTCCCACATGTATAGCATTCGTATAATGGAACACTAGGCATAAGTAGGTTAAAAGACTGAAACCTAATAGGACTGCAGAATGCTTTTCTTCCTCTCGCATCTTACCACCACATTCTTAAAGGTCTATTTACAGTAATTGCTTTTATCTGGTACATCATGTCCAACTATCCAAAAAAAAAAAAAAAGAAAAGAAAATTAAAAGCACACTAAAAGAAAAAAATCACAGTTTGACAACAAGTATCAGAACAATAACCAGACATGTCAGAGATGTTGAATTATCAGGCTAGAAACTTAAAACAAATATTATCAACAGATAAAGTATACAGCATATAAGCACTTATGGGCAACATCAGCAGAGAGAAAGTGTAAGAAAGAATGAAAAAGAAACACTAAAAATTAAAACACTGTAACAAAAATGAACAATGCCTTGGATGGGCTCACTGGTAGATAGGATGTGAAAAAGGAAAGAATCCCTGAACTTGATTATATGTTAATAGAAAATTCCAACACAGGAAAGAAAAAAAAAGACTTAAAAATCCATAACATAATATTAAAGAACTGTGGGACAACTACAAAAGGTGTAGCTCGGGCATAATGGGAATATTACAAGGAGAAGAAAGAGGTAAAGAAACAGAGGAAATATGAAAAGCAATAATGCATGAGAATCTCCCCAAATTAACGTCAGACACAATATCACAGATTGGCAAGTCCAGAGAACACCAAAGAGAATAAATGCCCAAAAAACAACACCTAGGCATATCATATCAAACTGAAAAAATCAAAGATTTTAAAACAGTTCATAAAATCCAGAAGAAAAAAAAAAACCTTAACTACAGAAAAACAAAGATAAGCATTTTATCTGATTTCTCAGAAACCATGCAAGTAAGAACATTATGGAGGGAAATCTTTTAAGTGTTCAGAAAAAAACCTACCAACCTAGAATTCTGTATTCTGTGAAATTATCCTCCATAAGTGATACAGAAATAAGGATGTTCACAGATTTAAAAAGATGAAGAAGAAGATAATAACCTGCTGCAAGTAGACCTGTCTTCCAAGAAATGTTAGAAGTTCTCCAAAGAGAAGACAAATGACATAAGTGAGAAATTCAGATCTGTGTCAAGAAAGAGCATCAGGGAGCACACTCAAGATGGCGCTGTGAGAACAACCCAGGATTGGAGTTCTCGTTGTGTCTGCGGAGAGGTGAGTCTGAGCTGCATTTCCAGACTGATCTTTGTTGCCCACGGAACGGGGAAATTCCCAAGTGAAGAGGAGACGCGGGACGCCAGGCAGATATTCCGCCTGGCGAAGCCGGCAGCCGGGGTGGCGGCGGCCGGCCCTACCCAGCGCTCCCCACAGGGCGCGCTTGTCCGGGTGCCCCGTTGAACTGGCAACCGGAGACGTGAGAGGGCTGGACTTGAGACTGAGCTAGACTTGGACAGTGGGCCAGCCCAGGGGATTGCAGGAACAGAGCGTTAGGGTTGGCCCAGTGGGACGAACAAAACTGCAATTTCAAACAAGCCCCGCACAGACGGCCCGAGACGCTCTGAGGGGGAGGGGCGGCCACCATTACCGAGGCAACCCGCCCCAACTGAGATACACGCCCATTGCTGACGCAGCCAGCCGTTGCCGAGGCAACCCGTCCCTACTGAGATACACGCCCACTGCTGATGCAGCCTGCCGTTGCCGAGGCAACCCGCTACAACAGAGAGACTCCTCCGCAGGGCGGGGCGGAGAACAGCAGAACAACAGAGCCAGGGCGAGCCTCACAACAGCAGGGCGGAGCCTCGGCAGGCAAACAGTGGCTAGTCTGCGTCCTAGCTGGGCAGGACCTCAACGGACATCCAAAAATAAAGCCCAAACCCCTCAACACAGAGCATTTGAGAAAAAAAAGGGTTTTTTTAATGAGCTCTGTTGCAGCAGAATCAAACATAGCAGCCTAACAGCCCTGAATGAACAACAGAGCTCACAGCTCAGCAATTAAGCCCCTATAAAGTACAAACTGTCTCCTCAAGCAGCTCCCTGACCCCTCTATATCCAAAAGACTGACATTTGGCAGGCACCATCCTGGGACAAAGATAGCAGAAAAAGAAACTGGTAGCATCCCTCGCTGTGCCACAGCTGCTAGAGGTGCACCCCAGACAAGCAGGGTCTGGAGCGGACCTCAGCAGTCGTACAGCGAAGGGGCTAGACTGGTAGAAGGAAAACCAAGCAACAGAAATACTTCATCATCAACATTCAGGGTGTCCACTCAGAGACCCAATCGAAAAGTCAGCAACTACACAGACGACCAGCAGACAAATCCACAAAGATGGGAAGAAACCAGCGCAAAAAGGAGGAAAACACCCGAAACCAGAACACCTCTCCTCCTAGAAAGGACCAAAACTCCTCACCAGCAAGGGAACAAAGCGGGACGGAGAATGACTGCGACCAAATGATGGAATTAGACTTCAGAAGATGGATAATGAGAAACTTTTGTGAGCTAAAAGATCATGTATTAAATCAATGCAAAGAAACGAAGAACCTTGAAAAATGATTTGAAAAAAGATTCGAGGAAATGATAACAAGAATGGATAACTTAGAGAGGAATATGAATGAATTAAAGGAGCTGAAAAACACAATACGAGAACTTCGCGAAGCATGCACAAGTTTCAATAGCCGAATTGACCAAGCAGAAGAAAGAATATCTGAAGTCGAAGACCAACTCAATGAAACAAAACGAGAAACCAAGATCAGAGAAAAAAGCGCAAAAAGGAATGAACAAAGTCTCCAAGAAATGTGGGACTATGTGAAAAGACCTAACCTACGTTTGATAGGTGTACCAGAAGGGGACGAAGAGAATGAATCCAAGCTGGAAAATACTCTTCAGGACATCATCCAGGAAAATTTCCCCCACCTAGCAAGACAGGCCAACACTCAATTGCAGGAAATTCAGAGAACACCACAAAGATATTCCACAAGAAGAGCAACCCCAAGGCACATAATCGTCAGATTCAATAGGGTTGAAATAAAGGAGAGAATACTAAGGGCAGCCAGAGAGAAAGGTCGGGTCACCCACAAAGGGAAGCCCATCAGACTCACAGCAGATCTCTCGGTAGAAACACTACAAGCCAGAAGAGAGTGGGGACCAATATTCAACATTCTTAAAGAAAAGAACTTTCAACCCAGAATTTCATATCCAGCCAAACTGAGCTTCAGAAGTGAAGGAAAAATAAAATCCTTTGTGAACAAGCAAGTACTCAGAGATTTTGTCACCACCAGGCCTGCTTTACAAGAGCTCCTAAAAGAGGCACTACACATAGAAAGGATCAACCAGTACCAGCCATTCCAAAATCACACTGAATGCTAAAGAGCATCAACATAATGAAGAATCTACAACAACTAACAGGCAAAACAGCCACTTAGCATCAAAATGGCAGTATCAAATTCACACATAACAATATTAACCCTAAATGTAAATGGACTAAATGCACCAATCAAAAGACACAGACTGGCAAATTGGATAAAAATAAAAAACCCATCAGTGTGCTGTATCCAGGAAACACATCTCACATGCAAGGATACACAAAGGCTCAAAATAAAGGGATGGAGGAAGATTTACCAAGCAAATGGAGAGCAAAAAAAAGCAGGAGTTGCAATTCTCATCTCTGATAAAATAGACTTTAAAGCAACAAAGATCAAAAGAGACAAAGAAGGCCATTACATAATGGTAAAAGGATCGATACAACAAGAAGAGCTAACGATCCTAAACATATATGGACCCAATGCAGGAGCACCCAG